CGGATTGTCTGCACAACGTGCAATATGTGTACGAAGTTCGTGTCGTATGACCTACAGACGGGAGACCACCTACACAATACGACCACGAAAGGACGAGATAGTGGGGCGCTCTGGCGGTACTTTACGGTACTAGTAATCAAATGGATGCAAAACATATAGATGTCGTGATACACCATGCCTGATTCGTGGCTGGAAGCCGTGAGCTCAGTGCTTGGGGCTAGTGGGATTCCTCTAGCTTTCAGAATCCTGCATGAAAAAAGGTAAAAGAAAGTGAAGGTACAATAATAGTAAGGTGATGTAAGCCTCTTGGTTTCGCGAACGAATTTCATCATTAAATTCATGGCATGGGAACGACGCTACAGAAGTATACAAAAGCTGAGCCATCCTCTAAAGAAAGTCCACTTTAGTGAATCTCATCTTGTCAGCAGCACCATGCTGTTTGTATGGGAGAATTGCCTTCGTACAGTGCTGCCCAATGAAATCCTGAAATCAAGTCGCGTCACTCAAGTACCGGGCGTTGCGCAGCCCTAGACCTGCGAACACTGGGCTGCGAAATGGTGCAAGGCGCAAACTTGAGTGACACGACTGGATTTCATTGAGCAGGACTGTACATTCAAGGCACCTGCACTTCCTATTACAGTGTAATGTTCTTATTTTACAGGAACATTCCCAACTGGGCCTAATGTCTTCTGAGGCTGCGTTTACACGACAACGCACGGCCATTTTCCGTTTTCAGTCCCGCATTTCTTTTTTCATTTTCGTGCGTTTACACGATCAAAGCTGATCCGAGGTGGTCTCGGTTTGTATCGTTTTCTCGCGTCTACACGGGAGCAAAGGATCCGCAAAAGTTCGTCATGTGCCGAGTGTTGTCGTGGAAGCACCAATCACACTCAAGGAATAATCGAAAACAGGCCACACACCAGCACTCGTCACATGACGAAAATTGTAAAAAAAAAGAGTTTTATTGTCGGATCCGTGTGAACGGCCGAAAACGGAACAAACGTGACGGAAACGAGGCCAGCAGACCGTTTCGACTGTTTACACACCCAAATTTATCCGGCAGAACATTTCCGTTTTCAAATTCTTCCACCTTGGCCAGCGTTTTGGTTCTCTTCCGCTTTGGTGTACAACTATTACGTTTTGCTCCGCGTACCGTGTAAATGAACCATGCATCCGAAAGGATTTAGTTGCGCTTTCACCCCCAGCGTTGTCGTGTATACGCAGCCTTAGATGGTGCCGAAGGTATTCATTGAGTTCCTGCAACTTCATTTGAAATGAACTGGAAAAGTGCGAAGGGATTCGAGGAGGACATTAAAGCAGTCAGCTCCAAGAAATGAAATTGATTCGTGAATTCAATTATAATGATGTTCACACCTACATGTACATGTATGCAATAACTAGGTATCACACTTCATCTTACAGGCGAGACCTCACTATATATTCTCTGGGGTACGGCAAGTGTTATGCTTTAGAGAGGTCCATGTTATAGCGAGTTGGGCACATAATATAAACCATATATGTCAAAGTTAGGGCTGCGGTTAACCAAAAGGTTATAGGCTAGAACCAAGAGTAGATAAACAAGAGTGTGCAACTCCGGGATGGGTTGGCCCGTGGCGGAATTTTTTGTTGACGTAATCTTTTCTATGACGCATGCACTGCGGGTCTTTTGGAAAGTTTGCATCGTGCACTTGGCCGGGCTTTACATTACAAGGTCGGTGCCCAGTACGTGCTCTCACACTGTTCTGCGTCAAAATGCGCGTTTTTCTGAAAAAAGGTGACGTCTACAAAAAATGCTGCCACAGGCAGGGGTATGTGCAGATTGTGCAGAAGAGATCCAGAGTTGCACACTCTTGTTTATCTACTCTTGCTACAACCTATAAGAGATAAACTGTACATGTAGCCTGTATTCATGTACCATTGCTGTACATGACTGTAAATCCATGTATCCATGGTACCATGACCTCACGCACTGCCAAAACAATCACTACAATATGTATAATACTCATAAAAGGACACATTTCAGGCTCATTACAAACGTCTTGAAAGTTTTTGTCTTCACAAGTATACTTTATGAGTATTATCGCATTTTTGTCTCAGACGAAACTGTTTACAATATTACAATATAGTGGATGCATATTATCAGTTTTCCAGAGCAGGTTCAACAAAGAGTGAATAACAACTAAATAGAGCGGTTGCCAGTTGACAAACCCCCTTTATATTTACAATGCAGTTGCGTGAATGTCCACTACTTTCTGAACGAAAGGTTCAACATATTTTAATATTTTGTATGCTCCATTGGGCTTCGGATTGCACCATCACCTTGTCATTTAATCAACTCAACCTCATCATGAGCATACGCAAGCATCACTAATATGGGGAGCAACCCCAGAGATGAGGGAGATACACGCCGTACATCCATTGTGCACAGTACTGACAGGGTACGCACATGCTGTCACGTATATTATGTACAGCGGACATTGAAAGAAAATAACCGATTAACCCATATGCATATGGTTAACTGTTCGTGTATTCTTAACGGTTACATAACCGGTTAACCTATCTAACCATTTCACCCTAGTCAAAATGGCGCTGTTTGCTTACAGACTACAACTGTATTGCCATCGATCCACACTGATCAATCCAGGAAATGTGCGCATGTTGTACATTTTTAGTGTATTTTATAGTAGTGTGTCTACTGCATGTGTTTCAGGACTGTAACAGTCACACTACAACAAAAGTCCGACACTCCAGAACAACCCCACACAAAATCCTGTGGTCGACCAGCCAACAAACACAGCTCTGGGTTGAATGACGAATTAGTGAAAAACTATAAAGAGAAAAGAGAGGTGAAAGAGAAAACCGCCAACACATCTCCAGAACGACAGAGCCTCACTCTCTCCCTCCCTCCCTCTCTCTCTCTCTCTGTCTCTGTCTGTGTGTCTGTCTTTGTCTCTCTCTCTCTGTCTCTCTCTCTCTCTGTCTCTCCCTCTCACGGCAACTAAAAAAACAACCATATCTCAAACCACACCTCACTCATTTTACGCTGTAGGATGAAGATGAAGGGGAGGTTGGCGATGAGAAGAAGAACACGGCAGGGTTTAAGCATTTATTGTTCAGTGACCCGTGTCGTTTGGCGTATAATGATTCTCGGTTTACAATTGTAGTATTGTTTGTTTTGCAAAGAATTTCAATCAGTTAAAAGTCATAGATGCTGTTTACATTCACAAGCGTAAGCCAGACCGATGCATTCAGAAAGAACATGTCACGGCATCCACATTCTTTCCTTAGCACCGTAACTGTATTTTGCACATATGTTTGTTTTATTCACCCTCTCTCTTTCTCTTTTCTTACAGTTACACTTGTGTTTTATCACACTATAGAATGACTGCGCATGTATTTTATAGATTGCGATTATTATCACTGTCGGGAAGGAAAACACCAATTTTACAGGGCCCTAAAAGTCTGAACGATACCTATGAAATGCACTGTCAAAGCAAACACAAAATATGAATATGCAAGCTCATGCCTGAGGGGAAGATGAGAAGTTGAAACGTGGAGATTTTTCGGACAGGACGAGAATCCGAAGAACCTGGGTGATTCCCTTACTTCCACAATGGGCTAGTGGCTGCATCACAAAAATTATACCTTGCAGTGGGTGCAGAGACAGATCAATAAACACTAACCTGAGCAGGAGAGCTGCTCGTATTCATTGCGATCGTCAGGAAAATGGCAGGACGAACGGACCAGAAGAATGTTGGCTATGACAAACAACTGCATATCCAGACGACACACGGCTTGACTATTTGCTTATGACGTTCAGCTTCGAGGTCCAGCACGATGGAATTTTCGGAAGGAACTGATTTTTGAATTATTTGGGGAAGAAGATTGCACTCAGAAAAGGTACCGTAACTGGTTTCTTTCATTTGAAAAGCTGTTCACCAAAGTCCTAAACATACACTGTACGACGTTTCGGAGCTGCTCCAATTACCAAATCGATCGATTTGTTTTGAATGGTTTCGCCACCGCTTTCCGATCGATCGATCCTTGCGCGATCTGTCGATCGACAGATCGCGCAAGAAAATCGATCGATTTTCCAAATCGACAGAACGCGCACAACATATACCCTAAAATCAAATTTTCACCAGTTGTAGTCTTCGTTCGGGGTGCTGAGTCGAATGGTCTTGGCAACTCTTGGTCCGAGGAAGCTGAGACGCTCCCATCCTCCTTTATTCCCAATCGAACATGGTTGAACAAGCGGTCACGTGCTCCTGCGTACACCAGTCAGCTGGTCACCGTGCCTGCAGGGTACAACTTACTAGCCTGTTTGACCTTTTTTGGGTGCAGTCCTGTCACTCGAGTTGAACTCGAGTTGAACCTTGGTGTGAAAGTTGTCGCCTGCTGGCGCGGTGACCAGGTGATTTGGGCACCCAGGAGCACGTGACCGCTTGTTCAACCATGTTCGATTGGGAATAAAGGAGGAACGCTGCATCGCAGGCTTTTCGGACCAAAACCAGTCGACTCAGCGTCCAAAAGACTACAACATATGGGCCAATCGCGGTCATTCGTGCTTTTATAAGAACGAAATGGCGCTTTTAGTGACATTTTGCATACAAATCCCCATCTACATTATACATGTAGTAGGGCGCAGTCACCCAGTTTCGGTGGAAGTGCGCGAGTTCGATTGGGATTCAAGTAGGAAGGGAGCGTCGCAGCTTCCTCGGACCAAGACCATTCGACTCAGCACCCAGAAGACTACAACTGGTGAAAATTTGATTTTAGGGTATACTTCCCCTTTAACAATCAATATAATTATTTTACATGGCCTAATATCAAGAGTACATAAACCATGTAAACCGTTTTATGTACTCTTGATAATAATTATGTATACCCATTATCAGTGCCGTACCGGTATACCATGGTATACCGTAGACCAATGTCCATGGATCGGGGCATGGGCATGGGCATGGGGTAGACCAGGTAGACCATGGGAGACGGACTGGCAAACACAAAGCACTCCAAATAGATAATATCGAGGAACTCCAGAGCTTCACTTCTACATGATGTGATTGTCATCGGAGCTTTCTGAGGAACGGACCACGAAGCTCGCGAATTCGGCCAATTAAAATATACCAGAATGGCTGGAATGTCTCTCGGTGTAAGGCGACCAACCGACCAGCTCCTTGCTGTGCTCGTATTTCTGCTGTGTGCCACTTCACTGCCAGTATGCCTATCAGCTGTCAATGGTACAGATCATATCAACATTTGGATCGTTACCCACACACACGACGACGTCGGCTGGTAAGTCGGAATATTTAGGAGTTTTTTTTGCTAGCGAACTGCCTAGATAGTACGGTACACGCACAGTCATTGGTAACGGTTATGGTAAGAGATAACTAACTATTACTTGCTCTGACTTATCCCATGGCTAGCCCGTTTGATCTCTTTGGGTTCTTCGCCTGTTTTGCGAAATTCCCATTCATTGGCATACGAGCTTGTTTCCTTTTCGGCTTGTTTGGCAATCAGCAGAATCAGTAGCATCAAGAGGTCCAAACCCAGTTCAACCTTTGGTGGTGGTTGACACCAGGCCTAGGGAGTACAGAGTGGATTACTAGTGTACATGCGTGGTACTGTCCTAGATCCTACTCCCTGGGTGACACCACCTTCACTTCCCCAAATGTGATAATTAATTCAGAGTCTGTAGAGTTTAAACAGAATAAATTAAGGCCACCTAGAATTAATTCGTTGTTTCGGGTCACTTCACTCATCCGTACCAGGGTCGGTCGGTCGGGTTTATTTTTATTTTATTTTATTTTTTATTTTGGTTTACGTCCATGTGCATACATGTACATCGAATAGCTTTTGTCCATCTAGCCAGTCGATCAAATCTGACTGTAGTGTAGATAATCCAGCGCAGTCATTGTCCCATCAGATCCAGGTCCCCTCCAGGACTAGATCTTGGCCTCTCTGGCAAACGAATCTGACGAGCAGCTCTCATCTTGAAAACTTCTGTAAATAGCGACAAGGTGGCGGAGCTGATGCTGTTTCAGGACCGATTGCGGATCGGAGATAGAAGACAACGTCGTCACCAAGCGCTGCATCCTGTCATTTGGCTAGCCATGGCTGCTTCTGAGGTCGATATCTGGACTGCTATTATTAGGGTCGCGCCTGTACATAGTGTAGTAGTGCATGCACTATAAAAAAACATTTTGCGGTCGGGTGAAAAAAGACGGTCGGTCGGGTGACCCGAAACAACGAATTAATTCTGGATGGCCTAATGGTCCTGCTCATGGTGGGATCCTGGCTGCGATGCATTGGCATTCGTCAAATAATTTGCCCCTGCTTCAGTTATCTGAATAGGTGACGGTCTTTTGGATTGGATGCAGCATAATATTATAGCGAAGAGTATGGCATTATTTTACGTACCTGCGTGTCTTCACACATTGTTTGAGGACCCTGCTCCAAAAAGGGCGGATTATTTATTTATCTATTTCTGCACCTCGTAGCATGTCAAGGCCATTCAATTCAATGGCCCAAATGGTATCTTCAGAAATATTCCTGCCGTTATCCCTTCAAAGTATTCGATATGTATCTAATATAGACTGAGTACGAGGTCAGTATAGGAAAGCCGAGGAAAAGACCTCGGTGAAAGACGAGGTGAAGCCGAGGTCTTTTACGAGGTTTTACTTCCTATATTGAGCTAGTACGAAGTCAATATTATAATATAATATTATTTATCACGACTAGCCAACACATGTGTTCAATGCCTAAAAAGTCAAAGAGTCAAATATAAGCAGTCAATATAGCCGCAAGGAGTGAAATATGCAGGAATATTTGACTGCTTATGTATAGCAAAAACCGATGGGGGTCAATACTAAGGGAGTGATATACACAAGAAAGAGCCTGGATTTTTGTTATTATATTAGTCACATCACATTGAAGTTCCCCAAGCTCTAGTCCCGCTCCTCATGGCAGTCAACATCACATACACGTACGTGTAAGGCGGCACACACGCGCGCACACACACACACACATACATACATACATACATACATACATACATACATACATACATACATACATACACACATACATACATACATACATACATACATACATACATACACACATACATACATACATACATACATACATACATACATACATACATACATACATACATACACACATACATACACACATACACACATACATACATACATACACACATACATACATACATACATACATACATACACACATACACACATACACACATACATACATACATACATACATACATACATACAAACATACATACACACATACATACATACATACATACATACATACATACATACATACATACATACAAATATCACACAGCAATGAATCAAACAAGTCTCATTCCGCTGTTACTCCGAGTTTCGTGTCAGAACACTTCATCAGACAGCATATGACCAAGACTAACAATCACTAGAATATATATACGGAGAAGGGGAGAAGGGGGCAAAGGTGATGGAGGTACATTTCAATAGCGCGAGGAAAAGGGATGACAAAATCAGCGTGATTATAAGAGGAAAAAGATGTTGAGAGTATAGAGCATAGCCAGGGTAGAGAAACAGCGCGATTTTCTGGCAACACAGTACAGATTTGTGCTGCATTGTTACACATCAAATTGTGACCTAGGGTGGTAAAAAAGGTGATAGGGATTGTGTTGTGGGAATCACTCACGCCAGGGAAGGGGGTGACTACCACACCCGCCAAGGCATCGGAAAACCGGCGACAGAAGCCACGATCCGCCAAAGCGCATGAGCCATGAGCCCTGGGGAGTGCTCACCATTCCCGCGCCCCGCGGAACCCAGCCCCGACCGCCACCTCCCCGGCCCCGACGGGCAAAACAGCCACCCCCAGCCTGGCGTGGCTCATGCATTTTGTCGTTCATCACGTTACCCTGCTGAGTTGAAACGTGTTGGCATGACGACATTTGGAGATTAACTCGCTCCTCTTATTCAGGCGGGTGCTCCTGTCGGCGGTGATGATGCGGAATTTCTCCGTCACGCATAGGTTGCACCGTTTGCTTACGTTGCTGTACCCTTTAGCTTGCTCAGCAATCCTCCACTTGATGGTGACCGGTGCGTTCGTCTCTTTTAGCCGCCATACATGCTTGGACAGCTCCGTGTTGTTCCTCCTTGACTCGATGTTCATGTCCGATTTGTGGTTATAGTGTCGTTTCTTAAATGGTGGCTCATGATGGCGTATATGATGAGATTAACTGTGAGGCCAAGGAGATCGCAACAGCGTTGGGAACTGGGGAGCGCATGGAGATACTGCCCAAGGCAAACGCATTCATTACACTGAAGGACCATAAGCCCCGCTTTGCCAATGATCTGCCGTGCAGGTTAATAAATCCTGCCAAGCATGGGCATCATTAGCAAGCAAGTGCTCGAACGAATGACGCAGAAAGTTCGCGAGTTGACATCCATTAGCCTGTGGAAGAATACGGCGTCTGTTCTCGACTGGTTTGTGAAGATCAAGGAAAAGGAACGGATGACATTTGTGTGCTTCGATATTGTGGAGTTTTACCCAACAATCACTGAGGAGCTGTTGACCCGTGCCCTATCATTCGCGAAGCAGTACGCTAACATAGACCAGCGGGAGGAAGACGCTATCATGCACTCGAGAAGATCCTGCTATTCAGCGGCGAGAGGCAGTGGGTAAAGAAGAAGAACAGTGCGTTTGATGTGACTATGGGGTCTTTCGATGGCGCCGAGGTGTGCGAGCTGGTCGGCGCCTTTCTCCTCTCTGAGCTGAGCCAGCACATAGACCAGAGCTCAGTTGGCCTTTATCGCGATGACGGATTGGCTGTCGTACGCGATATGTCAGGCAGTGCTGCTGATCGTCTCAGAAAGACCATAGCTACTGTATTCCAACAACATGGCCTGAAAATAACGATCGACGTGAACATGAGAGTGGTGGACTTCCTAGATGTCACACTGAATCTTGACACTGGAAAGTACAAGCCGTTTCAAAAGCCGAACAACACACCACTGTATTTAAGCACGAGGTCGAACCATCCCCCAATGGTACTGAGAAACCTCCCTAAGGCGATTGAGCGGAGAGTGTCAGATATATCGGCCGATCAGCAGACGTTCGACGAGGCGGCGCCGTTATACCAGAACGCACTGAAATCTAGTAGATTCGCTTCAACGATTGAATACCAAGAGAAGGCGGCACGTGCTACAGGAAGGAACAGAAAGAACCGTCGGAGGAAAGTGATATGGTTCAACCCGCCTTTCAGCAAGAATGTGAGCACGAATGTGGCGGCCACATTCTTGCGATTGGTGCAGAAGCACTTCCCTGCGAATTCAAAGCTGCAAAAAATATTCAACAAAAATAACGTCAAGGTTAGCTACAGTTGTATGCCCAACGTAGCCGCAGTGATTAACGGGCACAACAAGATGCTACTTGAGCCGAAACGCATCGAAAAGCCATGCAACTGCCGAGCTCAACCGGAGTGCCCGCTGGACGGCCGATGCCAAGCGCAAGAGGTCGTTTATGAAGCGCACGTGGGGAAAGAAAACGAACAGAACGTGTACATTGGATCAACTAAGCCACCATTTAAGAAACAACACTATAACCACAAATCGGACATGAACATCGAGTCAAGGAGGAACAACACGGAGCTGTCCAAGCATGTATGGCGGCTAAAAGAGACGAACGCACCGGTCACCATCAAGTGGAGGATTGCTGAGCAAGCTAAAGGGTACAGCAACGTAAGCAAACGGTGCAACCTATGCGTGACGGAGAAATTCCGCATCATCACCGCTGACAGGAGCTACCGCCTGAATAAGAGGAGCGAGTTAATCTCCAAATGTCGTCATGCCAACACGTTTCAACTCAGCAGGGTAACGTGATGAACGACAAAATGCATGAGCCACGCCAGGCTGGGGGTGGCTGTTTTGCCCGTCGGGGCCGGGGAGGTGGCGGTCGGGGCTGGGTTCCGCGGGGCGCGGGAATGGTGAGCACTCCCCAGGGCTCATGGCTCATGCGCTTTGGCGGATCTTGGCTTCTGTCGCCGGTTTTCCGATGCCTTGGCGGGTGTGGTAGTCACCCCCTTGCCTGGCGTGAGTGATTCCCACAACACAATCCCCATCACCTTTTTTACCACCCTAGGTCACAATTTGATGTGTAACAATGCAGCACAAATCTGTACTGATGTGTTGCCAGAAAATCGCGCTGTTTCTCTACCCTGGCTATGCTCTATACTCTCAACATCTTTTCCCTCTTATAATCACGCTGATTTTGTCATCCCTTTTCCTCTCGCTATTGAAATGTACCTCCATCACCTTTGCCCCCTTCTCCCCTTCTCCGTATATATATTCTAGTGATTGTTAGTCCTGGTCATATGCTGTCTGATGAAGTGTTCTGACACGAAACTCGGAGTAACAGCGGAATGAGACTTGTTTGATTCATTGCTGTGTAATATTTGTATTACTTGCTCTGTCCAGTGGACATTGAGCACTGTAAGCAGCCTAGGGACTTTAGACAACTGTACATACATACATACATACATAAACATACATACATAAATACAGCATATGGACCTACTGAGGTGCACTACTATCCGCTTGAAATGCTGTTCATACCTGCAGGACGCATGGAAGGGAGTACTGCATCTTCATGGCAGACTGATGATCGTCTCCCTGTAATACTATATTGGAGGGCATTCAGAGTGCTTGACTTGTTCGGCAACTTACATCACCTTTCTGCTACCTGTTTGTGCAGGTTGCAGACAGTTGATCAGTACTACATCAGTCAAGTCCAGTGGATTCTGGACACGTCGGTAAGCCGACTATGACATTTGCACCAGGCACATGTCGCGGGTCGCAGAACCGGAGAAGCTGAAGCACTTTCTTTTCCTACTTGTTCCCCCGGATTGCTTACATAACTGACCGTTGATATTTCAATTCGCGCAGTCGCACGCTTGGGTGCAAGATGTGCATCTGTCATGTGCGCATTGTAACTTACTTGCAGTAACAAGTGCAAGACTTAGTAGTAATATATATCCGGTCTGCTTTGTAGAACTGGAATCACAGATTTCAGGATTAGGGGACAGATATTGCCAACATCATCCAATTCCCTCCCGTGGCGACTGTGTGTATGTGCTGCATGAATTTATATCCACAGTTACGATGCATCGCCGAAGACAGCAGTAGGCGATTCACGTAAGCTCAGGGACATTACACCATAATGCAGTTGCAGGTACTACCATATTGATTGTGCGTAATTCATGCAGGCTAGGAGGTGTGTGTGTGTGTGCAGGATTAATGATATTATCTTTTGTCAATTTATCTATTCAGAGCTTGAAGAAAAATCAGTCAACTCTACTTTGATACCAGGATAAATTTCAGCCGTGCAGCGCCCAGTGAAACTTTCCTTTCCAACAAGTTCATCTGCATATTAAATGACTGTCTTTGTCTTGCAGCTCTTCACCCGGCACACTGATTTGGTCTGGGCTGCAGTGCATAGCATAGTAATTTAGTATAGTATCGGCAGTCACTGCAAGGAAATCTTGACCTTCCTGCTCTCACAATTCAGTACTAGCTGGCTGGCTGCCATCATGCCGATTGGATGACACTACATACAGTCAACTTTGCTAATAAGGCCTGCGGATATAACGACAATTCGCGAATAACGACAGAATTTCCATGCCCAGAGCAAAGTCCCATCCAATTGTAATACATATAATGAGACTTCGGGTATAACGACACTTCGTGAATAAGGACACCTTTTTGACGCCCCGCCGAGTGTCGTTACAAGCGAAGTTGACTGCATGCACTGTGAACATTACCCGGTGTTGGATATTTTTCCAGATACGTGGAGCAAGCATATTTTTACCGCTGGTGGAATGAGCAGAGTGTAAGTGGCTTGAAATGATTATAATGAGGGAGTTAGGAAAATAGAAAAGTTCACCGTTTGTGTGAGGCTTTTCTGCAGTCCGCTTTAGGAGCTGCATCTACGCCCTGATCCTTGAGGTTGGTGACGTGCCTGCGGATGCGGAAAACTCAGTGAGGCAGTTGACACTCGGGCCAAGATTTCTCTGATCAATTTAGCATTGGTCGTGGACTGCTTGTAATGTGTGTGTGTGTGTGTTGGGGTGAGTGTGAGAGGCATATAGATACAATCAGCCAGGTTTACCCGGTTCCCTGCTGCTCGTTTAGGATTCTACCAAGCAACGTGTTATCCAACTAGCCAAGAGCAAGCAACTGGAGTTCAACCTTGGTGGCTGGTAAGTTTAGAAAATGTACTTAGTAAGTTACAATGAAGTGCACTGTACAGTATACATGCCTTGCTCAAGTAATGCCCGATCAACACTCACTTTGGAACCTCCAAGAATAGGTGCCATTTTTGTAGTTCGTTTTCTGGCTGTGGATGAGAGTCAATTGGTCTCCATCCAAATTTCCGATGAATCTCGACTCTTGATCTTTTACTGGAACTGACAAGTTACACCGAGTCTCAAAGACCTCGAATACCCCTCGGTATTGGGAGAAACATGTCCAGCTCCTAAGGCAACACCCAAACCGGGAAAGAGAATCTCTAACAACCAAGTGCATGCATGTGTATCTCATCGACTTGTTCTGTCTACAGGTGCATGAATGATGAGGGAACAACAAGTTACTTCAGTGTCATCGACCAGATGAGTGAAGGTGCCCTGTTCATTCATGATGAGTTTGGACCGGACATCTACCCGAAGGTCAGTGGATTGCGTCTATACATGTGCCAGTATGCTTAGCCGTTATGGTTGGTTGAACGTGATCCTTGCATGGCTATAAAATTGGATCCAAACAGCAATCTTGTGGTGAAGGTGGTTTTTGTGGAAATTCCGGGGCGCTCTCAGATTGCTGAGCATACATGTGATTGTTACGATTCATCCATATGCTCTGTTACCCAGTAATTTGATTACACTCAGACTTCCTCCACTGCAGTGAAAACTCTGTACCTACCGCCAAGCAGTAACCTGCAATCCCCAGAAGTGTAGCAAGTTCTCTGCTCTATATCTGTGCGTGTATGTGTGTGTGTGTGTGTGTGTGCCATCACCGGTTGTGTGCCAAACTTGTCACCGCTCCTTCAGTCGTGTAAGTGACAGGAAGCGACACACGTGTACAGCTACGCGTGCCCTACCCGTAAGCCAACAGCCAGGAAGCTGTCACTGCGATCAGTGCGACAGATGGTTCCGGAGCAAGGGTGGATTTGCCCGACACAAGTGCTCGCCAGCAACATCACCAGCAGAGGCATCTTCTGACACACCTGAGTCACCGGTTACAAACAATATGTCCTGCGAACGCTGCAGCTTCCACTGCGCCCGCTGCAACCGCTGTGTGCTATTGCGCCAAGGCATGAAACGTCACAAGTGCAGCCGTGGCTCGGCCAGAGCAACCAACACAGACCGTAGCTCCTTCTGCATCGTTTGCAATTGCGGTCGGCGTTTCAGTAGACCACAGGACCTATCCCGTCATCGCCCCTACTGTTCCGAACCTGCTCAACCCCCCATGGGGTCCGCATAGCCAGAATATGGCAGCGCGTCCAAGGTCCAAGGTCCAAGGTGTGTTTGTGTGTGTGTGTGTGTATGTGTGTATTTGTGTGTGTGTGTGTGTGTGTGTGTGTGTGTGTGTGTGTGTGTGTGGGTGTGTGCGTGTATGTGTGTATGTGTGTATGTGTGTATGTGTGTGTGTGTGTGTGTGTGTGTGTGTGTGTGTGTGTGTATTACGAGCAGGTCGGATGGCATGTGGATCCGTTTGGCCACAGCAGTGTAACACCGTCCCTGTGGGCCGACATGGGCTTTGACGCTCACGGCATTGATCGTATTGACTTCAGGATCAAGGACCAGCGCAAGGCAACCAAGGTAGGTAACAGTGTTGAGGTTCGACCTCAACTAACTGAACTGCTACTGATCTGCATCATATCAGTCGCCATGTATCTGACTTTGCATTGTCGTCACTACCCTACGTGTAGTGCACTGTTAGCTGTGTTTTAGTGTCGCGCGGTATCTGCGTGTCACGTGCCTATTGCTGTGCGCGGGCTTTTCCATACTTTGAGTGAGTGGTGAGTTAGTGCTGAGGGAGTTCTGGAGAGAGAGAGTTGGAATGGCGGACATGGTTTTTCGAGTGGTTTTCCCTTTTTGATATTGTCTTGTAGTATTGTCTGAGATCATGATAGTCTAAGTAAGAGATATCTCAGAACCCATCCAGTTGTTGTCTAACAGTCTGCGAACGAGCCAGCCCGATTCAACAAACAGTACATCTGTTTTGTTTTGTTGTTAAATTCATGGGTGGTCACTTGTTTTGGTACTTTCTCAACTTGTTCTAACAGTTTTACAAGCAACATGGAGTGACAGGGGTTGGGGGGGGGGGGGATAGAGATTTAGCATGCACTACTGATGTCGTCACGTTGAAAGATGAGCACAAGTCACACATCATCATTACAGTTTGTTCCACACTACTACGGAGACATTTCACACTCTGCGACTAAATAATTTTGAAACAAAACACCACTTGGAGTAGCCCCAGAATGAACAGGCATGCACTAGAATAAGAAAAGGCTCTCGCAGAGCTCTGAGGATTCCTCAAACCTAGATAATGAATAGACCTTTGATTTGAATCATGCTTGCTTTGTGCTCATCCGAAAGTGAGAATTTTTTTAAACCACAAAGTCAAACGTTTCGCTCTATGCGGGCCATTCCTTCGGTCAACTTCACGTGTGTGCATACTACAGGAACTGGAGTTTGTGTGGCGTGGATCACGAAGCTTTGGACCCGAGAATCAGATGTTCACCCACATCATGGACAGCAGTGAGTACTTACACGAGCTCAGATTTCGGAGCAGTTCCAGTGACATATCGGTAGTCTGTCACTATGGCCTGAACTGGCTGAAGCTTGCCCACAGGTCATATCACTGATCATGTTGACTCTCATGCGGTCAAGCCAAGTCGAAGTCAGATGAGGAATGCACCAGAACAGCACACACACAGAAGTGCAAAGAGCCTTGCTGTGACTCTTAGTGTCACGCACAGAGCGGATATCAAACAGCACCCTTCTCTTCAGATATGGACCATTAAATAAGAGTGTGCGTCAGGGTTGTATATTATGCATAGATACACCTGGCCTGCATGTATAAGAATAGCGGTATGTCTAGCCCACTGTATGCTTCTCCTAAAGCTGCCACTGGACTGGCTTGTCTTCTCAGCTGATACATGTACTGCTTCAACAACATGGAGCTCCGTGGGTCGAGAACATCATGATTGCATGCCATCGTGCCGTTGCGTCGTGTCTACGAGCCATCGTGTTATTATGATTTTCACGATTCAGCATGCGATGGTGTTGTTACGTCGTCATGACTACATGCCATTGGGTTGCCGGTGTGAAACTTCTGCTGTACAGTGTATTGCACGCCTGCCGAGTGTCAGTATGATCGCAACACACGGATTCAAACTGACCCACTGCTGCCTACATACCAGGTAGAGTGCATAGTGATTATCGTACAAGGAGAAAGCAATAATTATTTAAAAATGGGCGCAATATAGGTCGAAATACGTTCAAGAGTACCGTGACTTCAAACCCCATTCATCCCCTCGGTGTAAAAATAGGGCCTGATCTGTTTAAACATACCTCATTGGATACCTGATGAATTAAAACGCGCTATCAGGTCCTAGATGGTGTTTTACACCTGGGTGATGAGCTACTCATGAATCAATCCACCCGGACTTGTGTAAACGAATCCAATCCACTAGATCTTGGTAAAACTCTCACCCAGACCTGACCAGACTTAAAAAAAAAAAATGAAACGAACGAGTCACTGAACCTCTCTAGTGCCTCTTGTTTCCCAAGCGCATGGCCTTGTTATTCATGGATGTGTACATGTGGAATTCTGTCGCCGGGACTTACTTTTGGAATTTAATTATATATTTTAAGTTAGCGCATGTTGTGTTTTTCCCATGTGTTGTTTTGGTCCAGCTCAATTTTATTGAACAAGGGGAGGCATTCGTGAACATGTCAAGGCAGAGGTCAGTTGAGCACGGCGTGAACAGTAATCAGGCGGATTTTCTCATAATTCCAAGTCCAGTGTGTGACTTGGGCCCTGGTATGCAGAGTGCATGAGCTTGGTGTATTCATTCACAAGCAAACACGCCATTATACCTATCAGCAGATACTGTAAACCGCCCAAAATTCGTGTCACTAAATTTTCGCGATCTCTCAGAACCAGCGATGTTCGTGAAGCACTGTGGCCACACATATACACACCCACAGTGTTGAAGTCTGATTTCAGGATGGTAAATATTTTGCTCTTCTCGCAGAATTTGCAAACATTAATAGTCTGCAAACATTAGGCAGTTTACAGTGTGCAGACACTAATCTGAGATGGTCGAAGTGAGAGTAAGCTACATGCAGCTCGTGGCCTTCATTTTCCTGCGCAACCCAAACCGGTGAGGAACGGTACCAAAATATTTGAACACACAACAAGAAAAAGCCAGTTTAATTCTACACCAGTAGAGTGCGGCACTGTATATGGAGGGGGAGGGGGGGGGGGGGCTTGTACGAGCAATGCTATCACCCACTGCTGGCAACACTCCCTGTACTGTACTGTAGAACGGGTAATTTTAGCGACGTGAAAACCCTAGCGAATTTAGCGATCGACTCATTGTCGCTAAAATTTCAAGTCGCTAATCCGTTGAGACATTATTAGTAGTGCACTGGTGATCCGTGAGTACAATGTCAATGCAGTACTACATCACAGTACATGTAGTAGTAGTAGTAGTACTACCGCTGTACCGGTAGTAAGTAGTAATATTAGTAGTCTAGTACTAGTAAGGCAATTATTAGCACATGTTTTATGATGTTCTCTCGTACTAGCACTCATAGTACACGGTAGTGATGGTTTGTACATACAGTAGTAGAATGCAGTATCAAAATGTGTACAGTGAAGAAAAATGCAAATCGCTAAAATAAAACGTCGCTAACCGGTTGACAATGGAAAAACGCTAAAATTAATAGTCGCTAGAATTACCCGTTCTACAGTACTCGATACGACCCCGTCGCAATACTGAATGCATCGCTCAAGATCCTATCGCCAGCTGGCGGGCACATATTGCCAGTTCATCGACTGATGGTAGTACGAAGGCAGGTGCTGGACCTCTGTCAGAGCAGCCTTCGCTTGAACTCACTTTCACTACTGTCTTCCCCGCATGGATTGAATACTGCGAGCAGGTGTGGCATTTAGCCACTTCTATCTCTGCTGTGCTGGTGTCTCAGCTCATCTTTTGAGTAGAGGAGTTCAAGAATGTACAGACAGCAAGACACACAGACTGACTTGAATGAAAATGCAACGAAAGTGAGCCAGCTCACGAACCATCGCTTTGTTGGCCGAATCGGGGCGTTCGAGATAGACTCATCCGAAGATTCAAATGATAACAACTACTTCAATTCTGCACTCGTAGATTCACAGCATCCGTGACGGGGCTATAGTGTGTGTCACTCAACCACTAACGGCAACATTCCCTGTGCTGGATGCGAGTTAGTCACGGTCCTGAACACATCGCTTGAGATCATATTGCAAGCTGCTTGACATCCAAATGAACATTCATCCGAGCAGCATTTGCTCAAACTTGCTTTTACGACTACCTACGCCATGAAATGAAACTATTGGCAAGAGGCTTGTGTTTCCCGCTTCCACACCAGCTGGTACCTCGTCTCAACTGAAGTCACTGCCTGGCACTGTTAGCCTTTGGCAAAGTTCGGAGATAACCACACCATTCACCATGTTTGTACGATCAACGCACTGTTTTCAGAGAGTATGTTGAATGTGTTCTTCACGAACTTCAAGCTTTTCTACAACTGATACATGTATCTTTGTTGTTCTGTTAAAGGAATCAGTGGTATCGTCATGATCATATTCTTATTCCATTTGGCTGTGACTTTGAGCACCAGGTGAGCCAAGTATGTCTGCAGCATGCTAACTCACTGTGTCGTGTTATGCCATGCTAACTCACTGTGCCATGTTATGCCATGTTATGCCATGTTAGGCCATGTTAGGCCATGTTATGCCATGTTATGCCATGTTATGCCATGTTAGGCCATGTTATGCCACGTTATGCCATGTTATGCCATGTTATGCCATGTTATGCCATGTTATGCCATGCTAACTCACTGTGCCATGTCATGCCATGCAAACAGATTATAACTGATCACCGGTAGTGATCTTGCCAAGGAATTTGCAAGTGTACTGGGAGCGTGACCAAGGACAAAATTGTGTGTGCTTGAAGGTGTGTGTGTGTGTGTATTGTGTGTGTGTTTTGTGTGTGTGTTTTGTGTGTGTGTGTGTTTTGTGTGTGTGTGTGTGTGTGTGTGTGTGTGTGTGTGTGTGCGCGCGCGCGTGTGTGCACGCGCGTGTGTGCATGGTTGTGTGCACATGTGCGCGTATGGGTGTATGGGTGGCTATGAAAGAGAAAAAAATGTGCGAGCATGCGCATATTGTGGGCATGTGGGAGAGGAGAGGGAGAGAGTTCCTGTATTCATCAGATTCTGATCTTCATACTACTGAGCAAGGCCAACACAGAGGTTGCCGCTCAATATGATTTAGAACCTGTTTTAGGTAGTCTGGTGCTCTCTTTTCAAATGTCCTGTTTTGTTGCATTTCTGCACACGTTCACACATGGGTAGAACGCGTACAAAAGCTTCATGCAGATGGACAAGTTGATCGACTACGTCAACAGCAATGCAACATTGAACGCAACTGTTCGCTATGGCACATTTGGTACATACATTGAGGTGAGCATGGGGCTTGTACATTATACGCCAAGAATGGCTTTCTAATCAGGCCTATGTGGAACCCTCCTGAAACCATTCTGCACCTTATGTTCTACTGCAAAGTAGAAATCCTTTTTTGGTATGGGTGTCCTGATGATGTGCTGCTGGAACGTATAAGGTCAGCATTCAGTCGTGTGGGAGATTGCCATTCGTAAACTTGTTCTTCTATGTAACACGAGTTGATATTATGACTGAACATCTGCATGTACAGCAGCTGACTTCATACAGCAATAAATGTTAGGCAATCATCATGCAGGGGCGTCGGACACGCCACGGTCACTACTGTATTGACCGTACCACTCTTTGCCCCAGGTAGGAGTGTAACACAAAGAAATGCACTGATTTGGGCTCCAAAGTTTGAAATAAATGTCAGCGGAGCGACCCGCTCACAACAAGTAAATTGTGCGTCAGATGGCTGAGCGTACCGCCCTACATTTGTTTTGTATTTATTCAACATTTCCTGGCTCGGCAAACGACTGCCAATGACAAATGATTGTGAAATGAAGGGTGATAGCGAACCATGGCAACTATCCGAAACAGTAAAAAGAGGTAAAAGGCATGAAGGAATCAAGAGTCGAAAATAACCCGAGGTTAACTTAGGAGAGTACAGGTGATGATAAGTGTAGGCAGGCGCCATTACCTTCCGATAGCCCTGTCATGTATAACATGCACTGCGTTTTACGGTGTCAATTGCGGTTTTACGGTGTCAGTTATTGTAGTACATTTGTGGCTGTTCTGTGTTTCAGGCTATCAATGCTCTCAACATAACATGGCCAGTTTACACCGGCGACTTCTATCCATATGTACCCGATTATGGAGTGAGTAGCGGCGTAGCCTCCATCCATCCATCCATCCATCCGCCCACCCAGTCATCCACCTCTACTGGTGCATTCTCCTTTTTGATTGCAATGGAATTCCTGCTGTGTTGATGATACAATTATTGTCAACACAACTGGTTTTTGCAAACACTGGGTCACTAGGCCATGTTGCACAGCAATGTGTATGTTCCCCGTGTTTCCCTGTGTGCAGCAATATTTCGGTGGCTACCTGACCAGCAGACCACACCTGAAGGGCTACATCCGATCCAGAGCCGCTGTGCTTAGAACCACTGAGCTATTAGCCTACATTGCAGCCAAGTCACCGGCGGCTGGCCATGTAGACTGGAAGGTTGGTGTTTTGTAGTCCACAACTCTTTTTTGAATGCACAGTAGACGTGGTGGTGGGTGGTGGTGGTGGTGGGGGGGGGGGGTGTGGGGAGGGGTGGGAGGGGGGGGGGGTGGGGTGGGGAGGGGTGGGAGGGGGGGGGGGGCACCGAGTGGACTGTGCACTAGATACTTACTGGTGCAACCATCTTATGAAAGTCACTATACAGTCAGACCTCGCATAACCGCACACATCCGTTTTCCACAAAAATGTCCGGATGGGCGAGGGAACCGGATAATCGAACACACATACTGTATGTATGCATGGTATATGCTGTAAATCGGTAACCAACGATTTTCTTCCGGATGGCGAGGGATCCGGATAAAAGAAGACCGGATAAGCGAGGCCTGAGTGTACCCCCATAGTCAACTCTAGCTAAACTCCATGTACAGTGAAACCTGTCTAAGACGACCGCTCATGGGACCTTCAAACCGTGGTCTCTGTAACCAGGTGGTCTTCTTGGCCAGGGTCATTTGACTGGAAATAGCATCGCTTGGTCCTGATTGCAGTGGTCTTCTTGGACAGGTGGTCGCCTTATCCGAGTGGTCGCCTTATCCGAGTGGTCGCCTTATCCGAGTGGTCGCCTTATCCGAGTGGTCGCCTTATCCGAGTGGTCGCCCTATCCGAGTGGTCGCCCTATCCGAGTGGTCGCCTTATCCGAGTGGTCGCCTTATCCGAGTGGTCGCCTTATCCGAGTGGTCGCCCTATCCGAGTGGTCTCCTTATCCGAGTGGTCGCCTTATCCGAGTGGTCGCCCTATCCGAGTGGTCTCCTTATCCGAGTGGTCGCCTTATCCGAGTGGTCGCCCTATCCGAGTGGTCGCCCTATCCGAGTGGTCGCCCTATCCGAGTGGTCGCCTTATCCGAGTGGTCGCCCTATCCGAGTGGTCGCCCTATCCGAGTGGTCGCCCTATCCGAGTGGTCGCCCTATCCGAGTGGTCGCCCTATCCGAGTGGTCGCCTTGACAGGTTTTACTGTATATGTCCTTATATGTACCAGTACATTGCAGCAGCTTAGTCGGAATGCTTATATGTACCAGTGCATTGCAGCAGCTTAGTCGGAATGCTTATATGTACCAGTGCATTGCAGCAGCTTAGTCGGAATGCTTATATGTACCAGTGCATTGCAGCAGCTTAGTCGGAATGCAGCAGATGACCAATGCATTGCAGCAGCTTAGTCGGAATGCAGCAGATGACCAATGCATTGCAGCAGCTTAGTCGGAATGCAGCAGATGACCTGACCGAACAGGTAGTGCATTTAAAAGTGTAAAGCTATCTCTCAGTCAGTAGTACCTGTAGAAGATATCCTACTATAACCAGCGGCATCTCATGTGTTTCATGTAGGATGGACTGGAGCAAATCGGGCTGTTGCGCCGCGCCATGGGAGCAAGTCAACATCATGACGCGATATCCGGTACGGGTCACAATACTCTTCCATGACATTTATGGTTCTATTTATCGATCGAACTCTTTGTTATGCATGGAACTGAACTGCTTCCATCCTTTACTGGGAACCCAACATGCAGAGGTTATAGACATGTTGTTGTTTGTGATGGTTTTTGCTTTATCACATTTGTTCTCACCCGACAGGAACTGAGAAGCAAGCCGTCGCTGATGACTACTATCTACAGCTGTTCAAGGGAACAACAGCAACCCAGGCATTGTCAGGAAACCTGCTTGGGAGTCTACTGAAGGGCAGTGCTGGCGAAGCTCCTCAGCTTTATGTGGTGGGTGACTTCTGCAGCTGCATTGGATAAGACCTGGGTTCTGATAACACTTTGAGTGTACTATTGCATGTCATGATTAGAACGATTCATGAACAAGCTCTAACAGTTACACCAGGAGTTACTGCAGTACACATACTAGTAGCTCCCAGGAAATCCCAGCTTTTGACTCCCGAGTTTTTAGCACGCATGTACCTGTACGTGTATCCTACATGCATACTGCAGTGTCATCACATGTTTCCTAGCCCACTGACATATATTCTGCTTTGTGTGTCTGCTGTGCCCTAAAAAACAGTCATTATAAATCTTTGCCTTTTGCATGCACAGAACTCTAGTCAGGTACTTTCCAACTGGACTGCTGATGAGGAGATTGCCGTGGTTGTGTTCAACAGCCTTGCCTGGGAAACCAGCCGTGTTATCACCGTACTGACCAACAGGTAAGCTTGCACTACATACACTTGCACTTTCTTATCTCCACTGTGATGGTTCTACCATGGTTATCAGAGCATCTTGATTATCCGAGTATCTTGATTATTAATTTGAAACAAGGAAAACGGCGGGGCACAAGTTATGCGTTAGAGTCCACCAATAAACCAGGTTTTGAACATTATATATTTTCCTTGGCTCACTGTCTGAGTATCTTGATTATTCAAAAGCGTAAATCGCTATTTTGTTTTTTCTTTAGTTCATGCTATGCACTTACAGACTTTACAGTGGAACTTCGCTAAAAACTGATACTGATACTTGTATTTGAAAAAGGTGCGCTGTGCTTGCTTTCCTTGTAGAAGACATTTTCATAACGTGCGCAAGCTCCACTGCAGCCACGTCAGTACAGATCCTGATGATGGCTCCTGGCCGAAAAGTTGATCGAGATATTAGTAATTTACAGCGCAAGGACCACTTGATTTGAGGATGGGAGGATGGTGCATGTACTTGTGGGGTTTGCATGTACTACCTCCGGTAACAAAAACTTCGTGATGGATTTTGGAGGGGGTGATTTGGGCACAAACTGCCGTGCAATGAGTCGCAATCACTTTCTTGGCCTTCCCTGGCATGCCATGAAAGAAGTACGAAGCAAGGAAATCGACCTTTCACAACAAGTCGAGCGGGGGGAAACGTAGGTGATGACAGTCTTGGCGAGCGAAACTGAAATACCACTTCTCCGAGGGGATATTGCGCTGCTTGGCCTCTCTACCACTTTGGCACTAAGTGAGTTGGAGAGCGATAGAGAGCGATAAAACGGAGCAGCGAGCCCACATAATGAGCGAGTGAACAAGGACCTGCTCCGATCGCACGGCTCAATGAAAACTTATTCTGAACTCAAGTTCTTGTTCAAACTGCGCAAAGCCCAGATTCGAATGCTGATGACCATGCATTCTTTCAGAAGTCTGCAGTCCGATGCGAGTCTCATGGCTAAAGAAAGTCGACTGGACTTGCTAGCCGCTGCCGTTCAGTGCTGGCAGGGGTATCCATTAGAGAAAATGGAATCAGTTTGGCTGTGCCTTTACTCCTCGTTTCCCGGAGTTCTGGAGAGCGAAGATGAAACCAGGGAGTCGTAAAATATTTTTCACGACTCCCTCGTGGAAACGAGTAATCACCATCGCGGCGGATCACGCAGCTTGAAAGCCAACTTACTTGACCGACGGCGACATCAAGGTCAGCGGAGTGTGATCAAAGAAGCCGAGGCAAGGCTGAAACGAGCTGAACAACGACTCGAGAGAGATGACGACTCGTGTGCAGCAGATGACGACTCGCGGGGCAGCAGATGACGACAGCGACGCAGGTCAAAATGAGTCGAGCGAAAGCGACGCAAACTGAACTTTCTGCTCTTTCTTCCAAAAGTTTCTCTTGTAAAGCCGCTGTACATAGGCCGATTCACCTTCTTCTAGTGATTTGCAGTCGATATAAACTGTTCTTGACCTGTTCTAAGCGTTTTCATATCCATCAAAATCCATCACGAAGTTTTTGTTAACGGAGGAAGTAGAAGAACTGGCATTTTATGAAGTGGTGAAGGGTGCCATCTAGCCTTTCAATAATACAATTTTCCTCTATTCTTCTCCTCCAGACGCTCTTCAGCTGACTAGCTACTATCCCCGGTAGCAGTGTTACCAAGTGGCCTCTACCCCCATGCGTATTGGCCAGTGCCATTTTGCAGAATTTTTCAGAGGTTTCCGTACTCGTTCTTCAGGTCAACATTTTGAGCTTCACTAGGTCATAACTTTGTTCTACTTCACTTGATATTCACAATCTAGGGCTCGTTGGAAATCTCTAGGCAGGAGCAACGCCAGGATGCCAAGCACCATTATGAAGCCGCCACAAATCAGGCGCGGTAACACAGCAAAGTCGTCTCCAAGCCTAATATGCAAGCAAATCGTCCCATCAACATCATTCGACTCTCGATCTCCTTCATCGCAGAACGCTCAAAATTGTTCCAGACGATTCAAACTTCAGCCGGCTACATCATTATAAAGTGCTCAATTGCTCAAAGGGCACGCAAAAAGGGATTTCCCCCCAAAAATGGCGAAGAGTTCGATGAAAATTTGATTTTGCCAAGGTAAGAATACCTTGGCACGGCGCGCGATATCTCTGGAGTCCGACGTCGCTTCAGCGATTGTTGCATTGGGCGGCGTGGAGTTTTTGCTACCACGTAGGCCCTTCGATTGTTGACTTTGCACAAGAAACGATGGAGTTATGATGGTTTTCGTAATCGATCATATACATGATCGTTTGCGGGATATTCGATTGAAATCCGTACTGCGGACAAAACTTCGTTTTTCCGTAAAAATACGGACAATAATGTTGGCAACACTGCGGTAGCCGTTACACACAATTAAATTCCAACAATGAAAGGTTTTAATGCTACTGATAGTGAAATTATTGCTGACAGCTATTTCGCCTACGAAAAGGCTCAACAGAGAAGGTGATACTGAATAGAATAACACACTGATGGACATGGTTGATTACTTAGGCGTGTCCGTGTAGAACAGGCACAACGTGCTGGGCAAGGTGTGAAACTGAGAAAGAAAAGAAAGAAGTTGCAAGAATATTCTCTGGCTGCACACAGTGCGCAGGGGCGAATAATCTGAAACTTCTCTGATTTCTCTGACGAGCATTTTGTAGGCGAAGCAGCTGTCAGGAGGAATTTTATTCCCGTGATCAGTATCCGTGACCCTTCGTTGTTGGAATATGTGTTGTTTGTAATGGCTACTGAGGGTAGCAGCTAGTCGGCTAAAGAGCACATGGAGGAGAGAAGTAGAGGAACATTTTAGGAACTGTTTTCGTGACTCCATTGGACAAATCACTTTAACATTATATTCCGTGTCGACCACGTCCAATGTGACAACGATAGTCCCCGTCGGGGCTTGGAGGTCAGGGTACGGTTGTCGGATACTGTAAATATACAAAATTTCGGCGCTGCAAAATTTCGGCACTTCACGATTTTGGACATTTCGGCGGCGATTTATTTTCGGCGTGGGGTATAGAGGGCATGGTATACAAGGTATAGTGCGACAGATGCTGTGAAAAATTTCATCGGCGTTTTAATTTAGGCGTTTTGGGTCGGTGCCGAATATAGCCGAAATTAAATAGCTGCCGAAAATTTGTATATTTACAGTATATTCAAGTGCTTCCCGATCGTATTTTCCAGATGTGCTGGGACATATCTCAGGCATTAGGTTAAGTATGCGTTCAAGTGCAATGGAAATATTGGTTACTCAGTGGGCTGTTAACAGATGATACGACTGTGGCCTTGTGATCTTTACACAGTTCACACATCTCCAAAACATTTTATCACCAGGAAGCTTGGCTTGCTGCAGGTCTTTCTCCAGTGCATCTGCACACACACATTGGAGGATAGTGCGAATTTCCTTCTTCCAATTATGGATAGTAGCATTGACACATGTGAATTTTGTCTTATCAGACAGGATGATCTTTGTTTTATCAGGGTAGGTTGTCATCTTCATGGCCACAAACTTATTGCTCTTGTCTGGCCTATTGATGACCACGGAATTGTCATTTTGGAGTTGTGTCAGCCGCTTACGGTCTTTTTGAGACATATTTGGCTGAGGGACTAGCGCTGTTCGGTATAACGTTAATTATGTCTATGACCTCACACTTGAAGCTGGCAAGACAGAATTCTTCTTCTTTGGATAGCTTGGGCCCTCGTCCAAAAACCGCTGGCTTTGATGTGCCATATTTTACTACTGTCAAGTCTTTCCGACCCTTCATTGACCTGGTCCTGCTGTTCCGCACTTTGCATTCTTCCACCCCCGTAGTGAATACACCATCCTCTTCACTCCAACTACTACATCCTCCAAGTCTTTTCTGCCTGCTCTGCCAGTGGATTGCACATGACCAGGGCCATTCTCGAGCATCCCTATTGTCTCCCTACATATGCAGTGATCTAAGTCAAGGACTCATGCTGACCTGTCCTGGCCAACGCCACCTACTGCCACCTCAACCCTACCTACTCTTGAGTGAGTTCTTGCCAAATCCAGTTGCTTTCTTAGTCTATCTAGCTTCTGGGGAAGGCGCTGCCTCGAGCCATTGCAATCTTTGTTTCGAACGGCATCAAAAAGGTGGCAGAGCTAAATGTACTCTTGCTTAGAGTACGGTTGGAGTTGAGCCCTGTAGATTGTGAGGTTCTGGTAGCAGAGAGCTCTCCTATGTAACTTATCTTCTATGGCATCATTGAGCAGGCTTTGAACGTACTTCTCCCGACAAACGACTCTAGAGCGATGGTTCCCACATGCTAGAGGAATTGAAAGGTGGATGAAAACTGGGGTTAGCACACCACAGTATTATGACAACGCACGCAACAAGTAATCCGGAAAAGCACTTAGGGACCGCATTCACCTCGCCGGTAACTTTAATCGACCAGATGTGTGTGTGTGTGTGTGTGTGTGTGTGTGTGTGTGTGTGTGTGTGTGTGTGTGTGTGTGTGTGTGTGTGTGTGTGTGTGTGTGTGTGTGTGTGTGTGTGTGTGTGTGTGTGTGTGTGCGTTTGTTCTATTTTTTTACTACAGAACTGATGTCAGAGTGTTTGACGGCACCGGGGCTCCCTTGGAAGCACAGGTTAGAATAATGTCTGCCATGTGTGATCTGTGATTGATTGTCTCTTTTTGGAGATTTCATCACACTAGTCTATGTAACAGCAGTGGAGTTGGGTGCATCACAAGCACAAGCACTTCACATTCATCTACTTGTAGGATCGCTGGACACTGTGAGGCCAAATGCAAGTCAGAAATAGTAGTGTCTTAGGTCCTATCTCTGTGCATGCATCTATGGTTGTGTTACATTTGCACAGCAACTGATGACCATTCCGGAGTATGACCCGCTCGTGACTGGAAACCATTCCAGTCACCAGCTCCTGTTCATAGCCGATCTGCCTGCCCTGGGATTTCAGACGTACTACCTTCGGCAGGGTCAAGCCCAAAATGTAGGTTGATGTGTTGTTTATGCTACAGATTCACATCATCTTTACATACCCAGTGCACTGGTAAAAACTGAAACAAACTGGGTGTCAGTATAGAGACGTGTGCGTATGCATTGAGGTGTGCGTATGTATTTTATGCCCAGTGTTGTTTTGCTGGATCATACCGGTGAAAACCATTTCGATCAACAGCCTTGCTGTCATTTATTGGCCTGGGCCGTGTAGCAATATTATTTTGGTCTGCGTTACGGTGCTTTGCCCATAGCAGGATGGTCCGTCCACGGTGCTAACAGTCGGCCCTAATAGGATAGAGCTGAGCTCTATGAACTTGCTAAGAGCCTAGGGCTTACCGGAAAGATTGCTACACCCACGTTGTGCAGCTGATGATCCTTGATGCCTTGCTCTTGCCATTTCTTGTCCATTCATTTGCCGGTATAGGTATCGCAGTTCACACCAGTGGAAGGAGATTTTGAGATTGAGAATGGCTTCATGAAGGTATGCCGTCAGCTGCTAGTGGTCTTGTGTATGGAGTGATGTGATCGGCTCAGCCTAACTAACAAGATATATTCAGGCTTTCAGTGCATGCTTTTGTTGATGCAGGTGGCACTATGTTAAGGATACGCAATACATGTGGTGAAGCCTACAAGGCAGTTGTGAACTCATGCAGTGATATGTGCGGTGCCTCGTTTGCTATGAGAAGAGCTTAGCTGACTCGTCACATGCACTCTGTCATATCTGTGCTTGTGTGTGTGTGAGTCTGTGTGTGCGTGCATGTGTGTGTGTATATGTGTGCGTGTGCGTGTGCGTGTGCGTGTGTGTGCACGTGCGTGCGTGTGCGTGAGCGTGTGTGCACATGTATAATATATGTGGGGGTGGGGGTGCAGGCATGCTTCTCGTCAGAAAATCGCACACTGGACTGCATTGCTGTTCAGCCGAATAGCGACAGTATCGTATTTCATAGCACTCTGGCACAGGTAAGCTCCTGGCCATTCTAATCATTTCTCAGCCATTGCACTAGAATGTAGTTGCATGGGGACCACTGGATGCAGTGAATGGTGTTCTTTTTGTGACTGTGAAGTAACACAATGCTTGGAGGTACGCAGCTTGGTCATTGTTTGAATTGATACCGGGTCAGAGGTTAACTGCCACCATGTAGACAGCCTTGTGTGACTGCAGGGGACTGTAGGTTATACTGCGGTGCAAACATGGTCTACAAGTCAGCCGTACTTGAATTTTGTGGAATGGTTCGAATGGTATTCTTCATTTGCACAATTCCTGCAGTATATGAGTGCTGCTGGCAACAACGAGAGGAACAGCGGTGCATACGTCTTCCGTCCGATGCAGGTCAGCTATCAGCTTGGTTTAATAGTGGCATGCCATTTTTTTTGTATTTTGAGCTCTTCAACTTGTGTGGTGTGCGTTTGTGCATTTGGCTCTGGATATGGAGCTGGTAGAGGGATTAGGACAGTGCAATTATTTACCCCATCATCAAGGCAGTGGTATTCTATTGTTCTTGATTCGTGGATGCAGTTGCTCATCCTTCAGAAGTACCAGTGTCGACTCAATGCAGTACATTAGCTGTCAGTATGACTAGTCACCCTACCGGGGGTTACAGTCTTCAGTACACGGGATAATTCTCCTTCTCACTCACCATGATATGTGTGTGGCTTTGGAACTAACAGTGCCTTGGAGTGATTTGGACGGTTGCTGCCCAGTTTCCGTACGCAATCATCATGGCAAGAGCTGTCGCTCGGCATGTTGTCAGCGGTCATAGAGCATTCCAGCATGCTCACATACACCCGTACATGTATCTCGCTTATCCGGGCGGTCTGGGACCGGCCACTGCCCAGAACTTCAAAATATCCGTAACTCGGAATCACGTACATTTTAATGGGGAAGGGCCAGAGATGTGGAATATGTGACACGTCACAATTTCCACGAAATTTGGCACAAGGGTAGTACTATTTCCACTAAAACTCACCCACAGGGTGCCCGGCAGACCGACGTGCCCGTAACTTCGAGGTCCGGATAAGTGAGATATGAATGCACATTCAAATGGACGGCTTTTAGCACAGTAAGTCGACCTGTTTCTTTGATTTCTATCTGATTTGCTGTATTGATCTTCCTTACAGGATAATTATATCCACGTGGGAGGAAGTGCTGCCTCACAATCATTTCACCAACTCAGTAAGATCCTACGTCACGAGGCATTTTGACGTTGTCTGCTGGTTCTATGTCCAGACATGTTCAGAGATTCACACCACACAGTGCATACTATGCGCTGGAATTTCTTACCCATTCTGTGGTCTCTGCAGCCTGGCATTTTTATCGCTCGGCCACTCCATTCGCGGCTACGGGAGGTCCAGTCGTCTTGGCAACAGCTCGGGGTGACCCCGGTCATCCCACATTGGACACGTTTACAGCATCCGTTGCCTCGGCAACCGTGAACCAGGTAAAATTGCCGAGAGCCTGATCATGATAAATGTAGTCACCTTAAGAACAGGAACCCTCGCTTTAAAATACACCGGCCAGTGATCTGTGGAAGTATAGGTGGAAGTATAGGTGGAAGTATAGGTGCAAGTATAGGTGCAAGTATAGGTGCAAGTATAGGTGCAAGTATAGGTGCAAGTATAGGTGCAAGTATAGGTGCAAGTATAGGTGCAAGTATAGGTGCAAGTATAGGTGCAAGTATAGGTGCAAGTATAGGTGCAAGTATAGGTGCAAGTATAGGTGCAAGTATAGGTGCAAGTATAGGTGCAAGTATAGGTGCAAGTATAGGTGCAAGTATAGGTGCAAGTATAGGTGCAAGTATAGGTGCAAGTATAGGTGCAAGTATAGGTGCAAGTATAGGTGCAAGTATAGGTGCAAGTATAGGTGCAAGTATAGGTGCAAGTATAGGTGCAAGTATAGGTGCAAGTATAGGTGCAAGTATAGGTGCAAGTATAGGTGCAAGTATAGGTGCAAGTATAGGTGCAAGTATAGGTGCAAGTATAGGTGCAAGTATAGGTGCAAGTATAGGTGCAAGTATAGGTGCAAGTATAGGTGCAAGTATAGGTGCAAGTATAGGTGCAAGTATAGGTGCAAGTATAGGTGCAAGTATAGGTGCAAGTATAGGTGCAAGTATAGGTGCAAGTATAGGTGCAAGTATAGGTGCAAGTATAGGTGCAAGTATAGGTGCAAGTATAGGTGCAAGTATAGGTGCAAGTATAGGTGCAAGTATAGGTGCAAGTATAGGTGCAAGTATAGGTGCAAGTATAGGTGCAAGTATAGGTGCAAGTATAGGTGCAAGTATAGGTGCAAGTATAGGTGCAAGTATAGGTGCAAGTATAGGTGCAAGTATAGGTGCAAGTATAGGTGCAAGTATAGGTGCAAGTATAGGTGCAAGTATAGGTGCAAGTATAGGTGCAAGTATAGGTGCAAGTATAGGTGCAAGTATAGGTGCAAGTATAGGTGGAAGTATAGGTGGAAGTATAGGTGGAAGTATAGGTGCAAGTATAGGTGGAAGTATAGGTGCAAGTATAGGTGGAAGTATAGGTGGAAGTCTCCATACACGTGTGGCACACTGCGCATTGTACACGAGACTGATTTCATATTTTACTGGCCCGCACGTGTGCTGTGATTTGTGACAGTTGCCTTGTGTTGATGTGCTTGAAAGTGAAACTCCAGCTCTGGTTTGGCAGGATATGTGTGACACCCTGCCCCTCATCTTTCAAGTGCTGGTGTAGACCACGGTGTAAAAAAAAGGATGTGTTTATTACTGTTTAAACATGGAGTCACGGGGAGTAAATGGCACGTGCAAGTGAAGAAGTGAATACTGGGGGAATTCATGGTCTGCATAAGAGTGCCAGTCAGTATGTAACTTTGCAATGGATATTAGTCAACGTGTATGTTTGGAAACCTGCCTACTTAATTGTTAATGTTGTGGCGTTTTGACTTGTTCCGATGTACATGCCATTGTAGACTGGCTTCCAAATATGGAAGAATGGCAACATGGGTTGGCAGGAGGACATGTGGTTGAACTATGCCACGCTGGATACAGCATTGGCACCATGCAGAGAGCTCAGCAAGTGTACTGAGAGCATGCAGTATGGTGTTGCTGAAGTCGATAAGTCGGCGACACGTTGTTCGGACGCTTCAATCGTTTTCAATAAGGTAGGAGTATGATTTCATAAGATGCCGCAGTTGTTCCAAAAGGAATTTTGGACCATCCAAAGAAGTCAGTAAATGTATAACAGTACTGATGAATAGCAGCTGTTGATGGTAACAGGCCACAGGTAGGGATATCAGCGAACGCACTGCGCAGCCCATCTGCGCAGGTCAGCCTGGCCCATCTACGCGCGGCCGACAAGAAAACTCATGAACACTTTCATTTTTTTGCAAAGTAAATCGTGCGAAGAAGATGCACGGAATGGCTGAAAACTAGGCTGAGGAATAGTAGCATCCAGAGACTCTCAAACAAATTCATGGTCCATCGCTTCTGACAATGGCAGCGAAGACATCAGGGAGCTGATTGCAGCAACTCTCTACCAAGCGCGATGCTGGTTACTCACCAGGGCAGGGCGCTTCCATCGCGCAAGAAATGGCCGCGAGCGAGAAATGGAAGTCCGATTTTGGAACGATCCAACCAGGGAAATTCCTTGAAAATTGGCCTGAACACCTCTCATACTGGTGTTTCACGATGTGCAAACTTTCAGAGAAATCGACCGGGGAGAACGTGGTGAGTTCGTGGGTCCTCGAGTATCGCGTATGATTTGAATGGTCGCGGGGACAGAAGAACAGTAATTTTACGACTCCCAGCGGTGCAAACAGACCGCGGCCATGTTTTCTCTGTCGGCCGCGATCACGTTCAAAAAATCGATGACGCAATGCATGCGCAGAGGCCTGCGCAGTGCGTTCGCTGACATCCCTACCACAGGTGCACAACTTAAAATCACTAGCACTGTTGACATTGATCACCTACCTGTACAACCACAGCACACCGGGTCTATGGGGCCACAGCCGGCCACAAGGTGGTGGTAGGCCATAGGCAATCATTTTTTTTACACCTCGAAGCACCTACAGCAGTCATTAGTCCCCCCCTCCTCTCTCTCTCCTTGCCCTCTCGACCTCTCGCTTTCTTCCACAATGCTCCAGGACTTCAAGACCAATCCACTTGTGTACTTGACAGTGGACAGTGAGAAGGACACACGCTCTGCATTCACTTCAGTTGTGATCTCCAGCAGCCCGTCCAGCGTTAAGTTGAATGTTTGCAGGTGAGCAACACAACTAATCACTGTACCGGTACACATGATGGCTGGAAGCCTGGAACCATTGCTAGGCATGTTGTTTCTCAGATAAGTACGTGTACATGCATCGATTTATCATTAAGGTCATCTATATACCCACAGCTTCTGTATTGCCTATCAGCATGCATCACTAGCAGTACCATTCCCACGTTATCTTACATTGCGATGCAATGCTCTCCCGGTATTGGAAATTTGGATTGATCCGACTATGCGCCTGTCCACCCTTCAGCTCCTGTGTTGCAATGTCCCCAGGCCGTACACTGCAGTGATGTACTGTACTGTGCTTTCGTTCAGAGTTGACACTGGCGCCGGCTCCTGGACAGGACCAGTCAGGGTCAACTGGCTTGCTGTAGCCGAGCAAGATGGACTGTGCGAGAAGACGTGCTGGGGACAAGAGAATTTAAGTGGAAAAGCGAATGGAACTAAGTGAGTGTTCGGTGTCGGTCTCAACCTTGCAAGTTGTTATGTATCCGTACCCACAAGGCCACTCAAGGTTTAGAAAAAACGGACAATGCCGTTATTGCACATGCACGGTTTGAGAGAGAACCAAGAAGATGATGATGGTACACCAGGTGAAGAAGATGGCTGAGGAGTGGCGCATGGGGGGGGGGGGGGGGGGAGAGTTTGGTGTGGTCACAGGATAGGTTTATAGTCAGATCCAATCGTCGCCAAACATCCGTCCAATGCTGCAAATGGTAGTCGACTGCTATGTGCAGCATTAGCTGGATGTTTGGGGACGATAGTACTGTCATTTTCCATAGCACACGAAGGCACCCAAATCCCACCTAGCTCTATTACCAGAAACTGACCATCTCATCACTGCGTTAGAGAGGGCTAGCACCACATGTTGTAGCTAACTATTTTGTAGTTACCACTTGAATGGCTACGTGTGATTGCTATGCGACGTGTGAAAACAAGACCAATGAGAGAGTGTCAGACAAAGTTAAACTGCTCTTCTGTACCCGGCTGCCTTGTGATTGCTCAGCATGAAACTCTGAGTTGCAACCAAAAATCCTGACTTCTGTGTTACGGATATGTCGTGGTCGGCCGATCGTCCCTACGTGTGAGTTATCCCAAGCCCGTTTGCACAAAGTATATGTGCGCCTCTTGGTCATTCCACTCAGGCGTACCTCAGACCCAACGCACAGAGACATTAGGGTGGCGGAGCACAAAGGTCCGATATGGTAAAAGTAGAAATGCAAAGGAAAAGTAAGGAACTGCAAATGCAAAACCCGGCACAAGCGGACAAGTCCGCTGGAGCGGAAATGGAAACTCTCTAATAAACTCAACTCTACAACTCTACTGCACATAAAACTCTACTCAACTGCCAGACTCTACTCGTGTCAGCAAACTTATACCAGCTGAAGTCTACAGCAAGCAGCTGCGAAGAGAAGCATCGAGCAGGCAGCAGCAGCAAACAGAACGCGAGCAAAGGTCAGCAGGAGCAAGCGCGCACGTTGCTGCAAGGAAAGTACTGGTAACACTATATACATGCTGAATGGAAACAGGCAGACCGGGAAAGACAAGACGATCGATTACAGTTCTGTGGTAAGGGCGAGTCTAGGCAACACATTGAGAAGCGCCAGCAGGAAGTGACTGTAGTGATGATGAGGAGTAGAACATATCTAACACGTGGCTCGATCTTCTAGAAACGTACCTATCATAACATAATGTACCTAGGCTACTGTTCTAATTATTATGCATAGTCATGATCGCAGCATTAGCTAGGGTACATAACTGTTACATGTAAACGATTATGAGCACTACTGTGTACACAGGGTCATCACAGATATGTCAAGATCATGAGCACTACTGTGTACACAGGGTCATCACAGATATGTCAAGATCATGTGCTTTTAAAAACAAGCAAGATGGATTACGGTAATTCAGGAAGAGATGAGGAATCTGAAATCTACCGGCAGTTATTTTTAAAACAAGTGGAGTAAAACCTGCCCCAACGCCTTTGCCGAAGCTGTCCTGGATTGACATGTGGTATGGGTGCATGACTGTGTTCTGTGTTGTGCAGGCAGCTGAACATCTCCGTATCACACTGCCAGACACCAATGTACATACCCATTGTTCTACTCAGTGTGCAGAGCAGCAGTGGACAGGTAGCACAGTATAGATTGTACAACTTGTATAGTTGACTAAGTCTTGCATGCAGCGACGGCACAGTCAGACCTCGCTTAACCGCACACATCCGTTTCCACAAAAAATATCCGGATAGGCGAGGGAACCGGATAACCAAACACCGTTTATGTTGGATGCATCACGTATGCTGTAAATATGTAACCAGCTATTTTCTTCCGGATGGCGAGGGATCCGGATAAAAGAGGACCGGATAAACGCGGTCTGACTGTATTGTTTCCCGGACTGTTCACTGTGTTTTAAGGCAGTAAGTTAGTAATGTAGTGGCGGCTACCAACATGTTTATAACGTTTACGCAAGGTGGAATATTTGTTGGTAAGTATTTTGTTAAATAAGCGATTTGGACACTTGCAACATTGCAATATAGATGCTGCTCGTCACTCACTGCACTACATTTTACATGTGCATTCACAGTTTTGTTAGCTCTGGATACCTTAGTGAAATTATCATGTTACTGAGTGTCCACAGAGCGGAGCTAAAACACACGCGGAAACAAAGGTGAAATCTGCCTATAAGACGTCTTCGCTACTGTGAGTTTCCGAGGCTGCAAAAAGGAGTCACCTGGCAATTGCAAATGATAACTACATGTGTGTGGGTACGTGTACAGTCGTCGCCAAAAAATCCGGCCAATGCTATGCTAGCTACCGGTAGCTGTACCGTGTACGTGGCCGCAGGCACTGCTGCAGGGCCTGCACTCTGCAGTGCACAGTCTGTGCTGTGCTCGACTCGACTGCATGCAGCAGGCAGAGTGCAGCACGGACTGTTTAGTGCAGTGCTATGCTGGTAGACCCTCTACTGTCTGTAGATGCATGCATGCGACAGGCACCATGCCACCGTGACTGTACATGTTTCCATGGCACTGGCCGGATTGTTTTGGCGACGACTGTACGTGCTACTCCACCTGCAGACAGTCTGTTCTGTCCTCTGTAGGCTCATGAGTGAGTGGAATACAGAAAAAAACACGGCTTGCTAATCTTGTGTCACTGCAGGTCTATGGCACATCCGTAGCTAGTGTGGCGTCGACATGGTTTCTAGTCAACATTCAGCCTGTGAATGGAACCAAGGAGTGGGAGGACGGCGTAAAGGTTTGTGATAGCCAGTCAACATAATGCATGAGTCGTGTTGGAAGAGCTGTTTTGTAGTTCACATTTTGCATTTCATTGCTCTGTGCACCAATTAAACGCTGGGCACTTTTGTTGTCTCACTAACTAAATTTACTCTGACTGGCATGTCAAATGCACTTGGTCATGGGAATTTAGCACAACACTACACTCAAGACACAAAGAAGCATAGGAAATGGTGAGACAAGATAGATGAGACAAACATGCACATGCACTGTGTTGTGAAGATTTGAACCTAATGTTACTGTGGTAGAGCCGTCTGACCTTTCAGGCTAGATCGAACATTGCGCTAAAGGCATATTCACAGCATTTGGATCATTCAAGGCTGACACCTCACCCGTACTTTCCTGCGCTCCTCCTCTCAGGTGAATTGGCTGATCTTCGAACGCAACACTATCCGCGATGAGGTGGCTGCTGCTGATTCAATCTCTTTATCAATAACAAGAGGACCAGTGGTGCAGGAAGTTAGACAGGTGAGGAAGAAACCAAGGAGACCTGCAATGCTTGGTATTCAGACAGTGCTGCTCAGTGAAATCTGATCAAGCAAGTCAATGCCTACAGGCTGGGTGCTGTGCACTGCAGACCTAGGCTTGTGAACACTGGGATGTTCAATGGTGCAGGGCGCTAGGCTGACTCACTCCACTTGATTTCATTGACCAGCACTGTAGTATAGTAGTGGCGAGTCCGGACTGGTTACCCATCCCATACGCCCAAAAACTGTGTGGCCAGGGTGGAAGACATGTATTGACATGCTTTCACTTTGTGTTTGTGTTTATGTTTGTGTAGGAGTAGTATGCAGATGATCCTTTTTGGTGAAATGTGGTACAAAACAAGTTATGTGATTCTTCAGCGTTCATTCATCTGCCTGTTTGTGTTAGGTTTTCAAGAACCATTACGCTGCAACTTATCGTCTTTACCAAGGAAAATCCCCAGAGTTTCAGGTAAGTGAAGGTGACTTGAATGGCAGAATGAGCATGGCATGCCGGCAACTCCTGTTGGTACTTCATAGTAAGTCATAAGGTAGCCCGTGCACTGTTGATAGTAACTCGACACCATTGCAACACTCAACCCTTGCTGTGCCATGCCTGTGTCGTTGTGCAGTTTCTCGAACAGAAATTCGACATCGGTCCTTTGGATCTTGGTCGAGAGCTTGTCACCACGTGAGTTATCATGCTACTTCATTAAAAGAACCATGTACAGTCATGTGCAAACATACACATACAGACACACCCTCAAACACCCCAGCCCCCCCCCCCACACACACACACACGCACACGCACACACATACACACACATGCATGTGTGCGCACATACACCCAGCAACAATTTGTTGCTGTATGTGCATGTACATGCAGTGCACTGTGAAGGTTGGTGTTGTATGGTATGTACCGGCAGTACATGTACTTTACCCGTGAAGGTTTTTTGTACAAACAATACTGTTTTAAGTATTGTTTGTACAAAAAACCTAAAACCGTTAGGGTCGGTGTGTTGTATTCGTCATGTCTTCTGCAGGATTGAAAACAGCAAGCATGGAGAAATGTGGTATTCGGACGACTCAGGTTTAGAACTCATTCCCAGACAGTTTGACGGCACGAAAGACGAGCCTGTAGCAGGTACGTGTGCTGCAAGCCCATTGATCTGTGTGCTTCTGTGGTTTTATGCTGAGTTCATTTTCAGGGACTAATTTAAAATCAGTACTGCAAGGTTTTAACCAATGTACACATGCGCTGCTGCCATTCTGTGCGTATGCAGGTAATTTCTACCCAATGGTCTTGGGTCTGTACCTGAACGACACAAAATCCAACTTCACCTTATCCATTTTGTCAGATCGGTAAGCTTTGTATGGTGCCGTGCTGGTACTCTTTAGGCATCATCTAGATTACTTCATTGCTCTGCATTCAGTTAGAGGCCGTCCGTGACTATCAAACCCTTTTCACCAAACGAATTATTTTAGTTTGGACCCAACCCCTCCATCCCTCCCCCTCAGAACGTAAAAAATGTTGACATAACACATGCAAAAGTTGCAAGTGTGTCACTGCTCCTATGGCCGTGTACATGTTTCAATGTTTTCTGAAACGAAATTGGCCTTCCCCTCCCACCCCATAACGAAATTATTCCGTTTTGTGAAAAAACTTCGATATTTATGGACGACCCCGTAGCGATTTTCCCTTGCTCCGGTTTGCACTCTACACGTGGAAATGATCTACACAAAGGAAATTTTGCCGGGCCTGCGAAAGTGGTCAAGCCATGAAGAGGAGCCTGCGACACAAGTTCACAATGGTGGGAAACTGTGATCTTTTGTAACGCTGAGTTTCATGGCACTTGGGCCAATCATCATTAGGGAAGTTTAGTCCCACGTAATCCGTGTGTACTTTACGTGTGTGTGCCACGTATTACTCAGTAACCTACGTGCAGACGTTTTCTGATTCACGACATACCATGTATAGGCTCGCCCACGTTCCGCCAGAACGTGGGTGAAAATCAGAATGGAGCGCATTGTGCGAGCTGTGAGGGTGCTCAGCTGAAAAATTTCCGAAGCACGAAATCAAAATATTCGATGAGCTTCTAAGCTTCGTCTTTGCCCAGGTTTGGGCCTTTCGCTTCATGCTTTTGTTTGTTCCGTGTGACTAAAAACAACATTGCAAACGTGAGTCCATTGCATGAACTTTACGTGTATCACCCACGTTCCCGTATCCGTTACGTGGGACTAAACCTCCATATTACCATAATATTTTTAACATGATCTAATTACACTGGGTGCGTTCGATTACTGCCATGAATTGATTCATGAATGGAATATTGTCGTTCGATTTCATGTCATGATCCCTGGAATCGGTTCGGAATCCATGCACCCTATTCACATGGGATGGTGTGAATAGCCAGGGGCGATTCATGAGTGGATTCAACATCAATTCGCAGGCATAATCAAACGCACTCACTGTCAGGGCTCACCACGACCATACAAAGCGTCAATAACGGTCATTTGGATTTGACCAATCAGCGCACGGCAAAACAGGCCGTTTCTTGCAATTGTGGGGTGCTTTCTGAGCTGAACTTGGCTGTACTCGTTGGTTTTAGACATTAGGCCATTGTGGATTCGTGTTCAGAAGGTGTGTCTTTGGAGGGTTACCGTCTCGAATTTTTCGATTTGGCCTTCGTTTGGCTGAGATCGGATGCTGAAATCACTCAAATTCGAAGACGAACAAGTGAATGAAGACAAAATGTAAAAATCTGAGATGGTAAACTGATAGAGAATTCCAAGACCTTGAAAATGAGCTTTCGACGGTGAGAATCGGCCAAGTAGAACCGCTGAAGTACCTTTTTGAAGACATCAAGGTCGGCCGCGCGTTCCCGCCCGCACCAACAAAACCTGGCAGCCGTGCGCATATCTGCAACCGATGTTCGGGAAAACATCGGCATCGCAATGCACAAGAGCTTCTTGTGGGGTAGCTGGAAGTGCACCAGACTTCTCTGCTGCGTCCTTCCATTTCCTGACCCACTTTCGGATGTCAGTTGCTTGGCAGATCATCAGAATACGTGTCGACCAAGCGTTGAATGTTGGCAAGGTGTCCGTCTTCCTGCTGCTTCACCAGTACCTGGGGTACTAGGCAAAGAAGGCGTGCAACCTGACGGCTGGTGGCAGAGAAACGCTCCTTCATCTCGATGAGGAAGTGGTCAATCAGAGGCAAGATGATCGAGCGACGATAGTACTCCTCGGGTGAGGAGTGCTCTACATTGTTCCGATGCTGTTGACGACCTGCCATTCTCGGTGGCTTCGGCTCCGTCCCGACGGTCTGGGCAAGTGTGACTGCTTGCTGGTACCATTTACCAATAGTGCCGGCACTGTCTCTGACTTCTTGCAGATCGGTAATGGTTCCTTCCACTAAACTATAAGCCTTGACGACATCTATTGACCTGCGCTGTAGCTTTCCGCTAAGTTGTCGAATTGATGCCAAGGCATTCGATGCTGCACAGAGACTAACCAGAAAGTCGAATGATGTGAGGGCATGGTAGAGACCACCAGCTTTAGTCAGAGTCTTCTCTGTCCCATGTCCACGTGCCATATTGCTGAAGATGTTCTTTCTCGTGGAGCATCACAGCGAGGGTTTCAACAACAGATTGGTACAGTTCCGTGAACGCTTCGTAAGCCTCATGGCATTGTACCCATCTGGTTCGGCACAAGTCGATCAGCTTCTACTTCTTTGCGTCTGGTTGTTTCTCCTCTATCACTTTCTCAAACAGGCGGTGGCGCTTGGGGGAGAAGTTGAAGAAGTTGGCAATTTCTGTCACGTTTCCAGCCGTATTCCGGATGTTCGCCAGATTGCAGGCATTAACGACGACAAGGTTGAGGATGTGGGAATTGCAATGGACATAGAAATCTGTTGGAGAAGACTTGCAGATTATCCCCTGGACGCCCTTTACAGCAGATGACATATTAGAAGCACCGTCATACCCTTGTTCACGGCAATTTCGGATGTCAAGGCCATACAGTTTGATCTTCGCCAGAATTGCATCTGCGAGAACCTGACCAGTGATTCTTTCCACTTGAATGAAGTCGACAAACTCCTCTCTGATCGTAGAAGATGTGTCAACGAATCGTAGCAGAAGACTGAGCTGCTCCAAACCACCTACATCTGTCACTTCGTCGGATAAGATGGTGAAAAACTTCGCTTCATTAACTTCAGCCAGAATGTCACCACGGATTTGGCTTCCAATGATTCCTATCAACTCATTCTGGATCGTCTTGCTGCTGTACACTGCGTTCCCTCGTCTCTCCAGCAAGTGTCCCTGCAGAGCCTGGTCACCAGCTTCGGCATGGAACTGCAATACTTCGATGAAGTTCCCACGGTTTCTACTTGGGTCTGCAGTGGAATCATCACGGTGTCCACGGAGCACTATGCCTGGAGCCGGTGGGGTAAGGAACACAGAGGCACAACTTTATTGGCTCTACCCATTATCATTGTCGGGTCTAATGTATTTTTCCTTCCTACTGACATCAAGACGATATAAGTTATACAATCATGTACATGTACATGTATTACCGCCGTGGCGTATTGCATATCAATTGTAGATTCTTCGAAGTAAAAACGCACTAACTTAACAATCACATAATATCATTGATAGTGACCCCAATGTTATGACAGTATAGAACTAGGTAGCTGGACACTACATGTAGGTGAATGCAACGATTTTGCTCACAAAATGCCACCTACCTTGTTTGCCACAGAGATGCACTGATTTGGCTACAGACGTGATGATCTCGCGATTCTTCTGGATTTTCTCAACACGGTATTCATCCAACCAAGATGCAACATTCTTCTCCGGTTCAGCCATGTTCTCCTTAAATGCATCGTATGCCACCTGGGCATCGAGGTGATACTTGCTCTGCTCGTGGCCACGACACACATCTGAGACCTTAGTCCACCGGCGGAAAGGAGTGCGGACAAGCACACCTCTGTTTCCAGCTGTTTGAGAGGAGAATAAACAGCATGGAAGGCAGTAGCCGCCATCCATAGACTTACACGAGCCATGGGTAAGTGGCCAGCCAAGCGTGCCTGAACGCTCTGTTGGTATGGTTCATCCATACCCTTGGGAACTGGTATGAGTCCGTTGGTACAAAATGACCCTTGATGAGCTTCATTTTCTCTGCCGCCGACAAACTCACTGGTCCTTTCTCGAGCAGCTCACCTATGTCATGAAAAGAACGGGTAACATTGCACTCTGAACTGTCTGATGATAGTCGAACTGGCGTTACTGCTTCAGAAGGTTCTAAAGGGCAGGCTTCCTCCAAGTCCTCGTTTAGTACTACCGTGTCTTCGTCATCTCTAGCAGTGACTGTGCTGGGGGATACTGCCGCCATTGAAGATGATTCCGATGTTTCAGCATCACTCGCAACAGTGGTTACATTCTCGCTTGGCCTCACTCGCTGAGGAGCGGCACCAAAAGTCAAGGGCAACTGGTCTGCAGCCCACCGCTTTGGCAAGCGCTTTGACATAATCGAAGACAGTCAGTTCAAAAAGGACGGACCATGACAATGACAGCACTGCAAAGCAACTCGAAGACAAAGGTCGCACGCAGCTCTAACATTACAAGCAAGTCTTGGAAGCGAAGGGAGCACCTGTGATCCGTGTGGTTGCATTTCCATCCACAGCTAGAGGAACTGTTTCACACAGATGTACACCACTACTCGAAAACGGTCTCTTGGCTACAAATTCTTCCAAAAATAATAAAATCCAAAATTTCGGGCCAGGCCCATCTTCAGAAATAATAAATCCAGAACAAAGACTATGGTTATTATATCTGAGAAAAAGGATGAGACAAATAGCACCAAAAGAAAGCAAAGAATAGCGCGAACAAAACCAGCAGCAACAGCAGCAGAAGAAGCAGCAAAAGAAGCAGTAAACAACACACAAAGCAGGCTAGAACATTACAATCCCCCCAAACCAAGCAGTAGCATCACACCATCCCCAGCAAAAGTAAGCGTGTATGTACTGTTACAAAAAGCACAAGCTGAACATACTACTGATACATGCACATGGACTGCGTTGCAGCTTTGAACTGTGCAGTGTGTGCTGTGCTTGCAAAACATGCCGATCGGAGGATCATATCAATGTATCAATGTAACATCTGCATGATTCAGCTCAGGCTATATATGCGCTACGGCAGGATCCTAGGAGCAATTCGCATGCCTGGCTTTTGTAAAAAAAAAAACCCTGCACCACGGTCGGGAAAAATTTAGGGGGTTCGTCCGAACCCCCCCCCCCCCCCCCCCCCCGGGAAGTGCAACAAGACAGGACCGATGACACAGCAAGCATTCCAAATGAAGAGTTTACCTTCGTGTTGACTCAAGCTAAGGACTCAGGCCAGTCGGGGATCATACCAGTCACTTGTCATCATGGTCATGACTCATTTGTGGCCAGGAAACTCCACACTCGCAGGGTGAAAGCTGCGAGGTCAAACCGAAAAGAGTGTGCCGAGCCGTGATCAGGAAACGCTGAGTTGTACTGACAACATTGGTTAGCTAGGAGCGGCAAAATCGTGTAGATGCCAGGACTCCAGTTCACCAGTATCTCACGGACATATCTTGGTCGGTATGCACCAGCGGATTGAGAAAAATGACCAAGATGGCTTGGAGAAAGGACGTCTTCTCCTCGTGTCTTTCCCCGGCATCAAGCAACAAGATTCTCTTCGGCACTGGCTCTTCGCAGACTAGACCAGGGAGTCGTAAAATACTGGTATTTTACAACTCTACTGTACATCGCTGTACATTGATCAGCACGAACTTGGGTGCGTAGCCGCTATGACTGCACCAACGCTGGCCTGCGCGGCAATCGCCACTTTTCAAAATGGTTGTCGACGCTTTTTGAATTTTGTATGCAGTGGCGGGTTTAGGGGGGGGCGCGGGGGGCGCGCCCCCCCCCCCCCTCAAAAATTTCGACCTAGGTTTCGAAAAATAATAGGCAGGGCGCTAGGGTGCCGGGTCGATCGAGCTAGACTCGTTCGGGGCGCGCCCGGCCTGAAAGTCCAAAAGCGGTTGCACGGTCGAGCTGGTGTTGATTGTACACACTTCAGACTAGTAGTACAGTACAGTCTACAGAGTAGAGTCTACGTACAGTGAGCATGCACGGCGCGGCTACAGAAACATGGTGACCTGACTGTGTACTATTGTACAGTGTGATCCCTGCTGGGACGCGCTCGACGCGTCTTCAACGGTACAAACATCGAAGAAAAGTCTTCGATCGAGTCAACCAAAACACGATTCGAATGCCGAGGGCTCAGGCGATCATCCTCGTTCGAATCGTGTTTTGGTTGACTCGAAGGCTTTTCTTCGATGTCTCAGGGACATCCCAAAAGGCCAAGCTCTAGCCAGCAGAGCCTGGAATTTTTGTAAAGCGTTCCTGTGGCGGCGCAACTCCTGCTGCCGCTCCAACAGCAAACAGTGGGAGTGATGAAGTCGCTGTTATTCCAGTTGAACTTTCGGAGCGGACTGACAGTCACACTCCGCCAGACGCGGAAGAATCTGTTGTCAGCGAGTAGCCAGAACATGAAGAACAGCGCACAGTGACAAGTACCGCTGCCTATGTAAAGGATGCTTTGACTCTTTGAGAGCGGTGAGAAATTGTTGGACTCGCATAAATAATTGCAGTTGATTCGCTCACCTAACGGCAAATTTGAAGTTTACAATGTACATTGTTGCTGCGTGTACAGAAATACTGCTCGTGGTGTGTGAGATTTACGGCTTGTTGTTGTTTGTTATTTTACTTCACCAAATGAGCAGGCAGAGATGCCTTCTCACCTGCCCATAGGACAGGTTCTCACAGAATGATGAAGGGATGATATGCAAGGGAAAACAAGAAATGATAATAATAATAATTATTATAAGACAGAAAGGACCAAAAGAAGAAAAGGAAAAATTTATATGAAGACAATTTCATGGAGTCAGAAATAGAAAGACAATAATTTCATGGAGTCAAAGAATAGAAAGACAATCTCATGGAGTCAGGAACACGTCGTTGATTTTATAGACATGCATGCACAAATGTGATAGATGAGAAGGTTGGAATTTATGGCAGATAATAAAAGTTTAACGAGGATATTCACAAAGTAAACCAGTATATCAATGGCAGAAAGAGCTTTTCGGAAGGGACCAGGGGCACGTATCACTCTAAAATCAGAGGGGAGAGCGTTCCAGAGAATGCTTCCCCGAAACATCATGGTCGATCGTCCCGCAGGCCCACGAAGAAAGGGAACTTGAAGCAAGTTCGACACTTGTCCTCGTGTGGTGCGCTGATCCTCCGGAACAGTCTCTGGGGCCGTTCGGGTGAATAACTGTTGAAGAAGGGGGCTACAGGAGGAGCTTCTTGACATCGGTTTTCAAAATGGCTGACCTGGGACAGTAGCATGATGTCATCTACCCCCACCCCATCCCGCCTTGATCCCGGCCGCAACCCCCCCCCCCCCCCCCCCCTCAGCCAAATCCTGGACACGCCACTGGTATGGTCGTGGTGAGCCCTGACTGTGGGCATGTATCGTTTTCCATAGGCAATGTGCATGACAGTAATTCACCCCCCCCCCCCCCCCCCTGCAGTAAGCACATAATGTTTGAACACCTCTACATCATACATGGCCACATGAGGTGTGTTTTTTGGGGTTGTGCTGGTTCTCTGCAGATCTCACAGCTCTGCTTACTTGGGTGAAGACGTGTATGAGATCATGCTTCACAGGTAACTGGTTAGTACAATCAGTGCTGGCACTGCACATCCTCTTCTAGATCAGCACAAGGAACCATTACAGTCTGGGACTAAACTGATTAGTCATTGCAAGCGGCGCATAGTAATACAGTGGTAGTTGTTGGCATTCCGAGCATGTTTATAGATGTGATTAGGTCTCAGCCGGAGTCCCTCTGTGGCGTATTCATCGTCTGCTGTGTTTGCGGTCACTGTTATTGCGTTAGATATCATGCTTGGGACTGACTCCCTTGTGATCTTCGTAATGTGTTTTTGTGCCTACAAGTACAAGCATGTATGTGCGTGTGTGTGTGTGTGTGTGTGTTTGTGTGTGCGTGTTTGTGTGTATGTGTGTGTATATATGCATGTGTCTGGGTTTGTGTGTTTGTGTGTGTGTGTGTGTGTGTGTGTGTACTGTAGTGTGTGTATGTGGCTGTGTGTGTGTCTGTGTGTCGGTGTATGTGTACGGTTTCTTCACTGCTTGACAGGCGCTGCTTAGCAGATGACTTCTTTGGTGTTGGCGAGGTCCTCAATGAGACTGATCACATCCAACCGGTGTAAGTACATGTTCAGTGGAAGTTTGAACAGTACCACAACTCACCAGCACACAAACACACTCACCACCGCTTGCAGCAAAACAGTATGAGAAGACCCATGGCGTTTCTTCCACAACTAGCCCAAGCTACCTTTGGTAATGTTGGTGCTTTCACTTATGATTATGCAAGGAATATGTGTCAGAAACCCCAGCCAATTGGCACCAACCTGAAGCTGTACTGTCCTAAAGGGGAAGTGCATCGATTTTTCAAGTAGGGTTCAGATGGAAAACAATTTGATGTCGGTTCGAATGGCATACGAACCGACATCAAAATGTTTAATAGTCATTCATGTGAACCCTACTTGAAAAATCGATGCACTTCCCCTTTGATGACTTTTAAAATGTTTGGAAGGGTGTGAGAGAAGATGGGGAATATGCAGATCTAGGACTAACATTGTACAACAAGCAACAACCTAACGATCGAACGATCTGGATGAAATAGCATACATTTTTTCCAGCCGGCCATGTATTTGACCGGCTTGTGCTTTGCCAAGGCTTTGCTTTTACTCGGGGTTGGCTGATGTTGACACAAAATCACAAATGGCCCATTATCTGCGGAAATGGACCTTAGGGTGATTTTTCACAAAATGACTTTTTTCTGCTGTTGTCATCTATAGGTATCTAGTGATCACATGGCAAAGTATTAGACCGAACAAAGCAATGTTCATGACCCAGAAGCTTCTCAAACAAGCATAGGTACATATCAGGAAATACAACAATTTATCACAGTGTTTTCCACATCAGAATAATATTATGTGTTACAGTGAAATAAATAAAAAATAGACAGTGTAATAAATCATCCATCCAGTTTTTGTTGTAAAACAACTCTTGGGCAACCTCTGGCAGAGAGCATGGATGGTCTTGATCCTCATCACTGCATACCAATGAAAACTGTTTGAACGCCATCCCAAGTCTGCTGAAAATCCACAGAAGTGCAGAAGAGGAGGGAAGGTGGCTACAACTACACCTGGAGTCCCAGTCTGTGCATCCCACAGGGAATGCAACACAGGCACAACATTTTAACACCCCACAGAAAGTACTTTTTCCAGCAGAGAGCTCCTTTGGCGGAGCGCCTATATCAAGTTGAAATTCTCGTCGCTAAATAGGAATTGCGCGTCGACAAAAACATCTTCTGGAAACTGTCGTCGTTCTCTATCAGGCGCGACGATTCCTGCCTAGGAAATCCAATGACTTCTGGCGGAGCCGGACGGCAGCTAGCTGGCCATCGTGAGCGAACTCTCCTGCTACTGGGACGATCAAAAGCATTCATTGTTGCGATGAACTAATTTTTGTTTGAATGTGCAGAGCGCGAAGCAACAGTTTTTTGCCGTTGCAGAAAATGACTTATTCTGAAAAAAAATATTTTCGCCCGAAGGTCGATTCTCGGTGATACTGGGCCAAATACTAGTGCATGTCAGGAGAAATTATTATTCTCAGTTATATCTGTGATACCAGGTTCAATTGTTTATTGTACTAAACGCTCATGTAGTGTGTTCTTTGCATGCCAAAAAAAATACGGTACATGGCTCTTCCAGCCAGACGTTGTCAGTAGGGTGGGCAATCCTGCACTGATGAAGCAATTCCTTACTTGCTGTTGGTTGCTGCACAGTTTCTGGTTAGTACCATCTTATGAAAAGGCTGCTTCGTACGATCTGAGACACAAGATGTCACTTCAGCTGCAAAACCCACCGACGGTAATGTTTGGCAAGGCATCGGCCAGTGAATGGGCAAAGACATTTGCCACCTCTTTCACCGCTTTGAAGAAACCGTTTCCCGAGAATGTGCATCTTCTCTCTCTCAAAGCAAGGAACACTACCAGTGGAGGCAAGCTGGACAGGTACGGGATGGCATTTCAACTCTGCCATGCAGGGGTGTAGTGACTACTTGAAGTAACAACATACAAACAGTAATCTGAAGTAGGCCTAACGTCCTGGGTGTGAAAGTACTTCAACTCCCCCCCCCCCCCCCTTTCAATCCATGTAGCCGCATATGCAATTGGCTGGCCAGAGATTTCGAGTTTGTGTGCATGCAACTTGTGCATGCATCTGTGTGGATAATTTGGATGTGTTGTATCCATTAGCAAGTGAGTATGCACATAGCTACATGTATGTTACAGGAGAATAGAACGGTATATCATCAGTATCTTGTTGACGTTTGATGGAGAGTGTCCACTAGCTTTGTTGCATCTTTGTTTTAGAGGATGTATTGACTACGTGTACAGTGAAGCTTATACAAAAGTAGAGTCAATACTACTTTTCTGTCATGTGGTTCTTCAGATTTGTATTTCGGCTGCAGCATACGTATGAGCGTGACGAACCGTCTGAGCTCTCGAATCCAGTAACAGTCGATCTCAGCGAGTACTTTGCCGATGGTCTCGTGCCTACAATTTCATCTGAAACGACCCTCACCGGAAACAGGGAGAGGTAGGGTACCGTGCACTTGTTATTGCTTTCCGCAGCCTCAGCTGCTCGTAGGAGAATAGTGGCTTCCTGCATGCTCATAGGCTAATGGTAAAACTGGTGAGAAGACATGCGCTTCCTGTAGCACTACACAGTCACAGCTGATTAACGTTCAGTCGTTCACCTGTCAGAGAAATATTTCCATAAATTGCTAACATCAGGTTGCAATAGTGTGCGGCAAGGCTCCAAAGAAGCAGATGTATACCAGCAAGTGTTGTGACGTTCTCTATCGACTTTACTATACTAATTGATTGAACATGCACATTTGCCCATCCTGCGTTCGTACTTTACACAGAATGCTGATCCTGGAAAGACGATAATTGCTGCTCGCCACTGCGTTGTGTCCTCTAAAATTATCTTTGCTGGTATCGCGTGTTGTAGGTCCAGTGTACAGCGCTTGAAATGGCGAGCTGAAGGGGACATCAGCTCTGATGGATCAGCCGATGAGGTACCCAACATTTGGTAAGTCCAGTGACACTTACATTCTAGTTTATATATTTATTTATTTATTTCACCTTCCCAAGGCCAGGGAATATAGGCCAATATGGGGGGGGGGGGGGGCAATAGCCAGCCATGGTAATAAATACTAACAGTAGAGTGGTTCTCTCATGCTGCATTTTGGGTGAAGTGTTTACCCAACTTCTCGGTTCTGTGGAGAGCTTAGCAGCATCTGAATGCCTGGAAAGTACGAACATCGTAGTCTTCTCCCAGGATTCTGATTCTGCAGTGCACGAGGTTGATACACCCGGGGATTAGAGATCCTTAGCAAAAGTACGATAACGCTAACATTTATGGTACTCACTCCCAGCCGTGACAAAAGACGTTATCGGGTAACGGAAAAACGTTACAGAGCTCAAAATAACGGGCCGACGTTCGTTATGGTAATTCTGCAAAAAATTCGAAACTCACATTGCTTTGTAACTGGCGGGAGATAAAAAGCACGTGCAGATCGAGATCTGATTCGAGATTGCTTCCTCTTGTGACATTTAGCATTTTTTGGCGAGTTTTGCCTTTCAGTTGACAATATCTGCGTCCTCTGCTTCGTGCCTTTCACACTCTATCCCATCTGGGAAACAAAGGACCGGTTCCGCGGCACTCCTGAGGAAGAAATTCATCGGCCTCTCCCAGACGTGCTGGAGCTGGAGAACAGTCTTCGGTGCTGCGTTCAGGAAAGGTTTTCCAAGGACCTGGGAACAGCGAGAAAACTCATTTTCGCCGTGCCTTTGCCATTCCAGAGTGAAAGACCTCGCCAAGGTATTCGTTCGGAACGACAGCATACTAATCTCTGGTTCAAAATTTTGAATTTCCCGCACTTGTTTCCACGAAAATTCATATCGCCATGGTTGTCACGACTACTTCGTCTGAACTATAACGTACATTGTGCCAAGGGAAAAGTCAGCTTGAACGATCCAAAGTACGGAAAGGTTTGCGTTTACGTTTAGCGTTTTTTTAGCTAAGGATATCTATTGATGCTGTTCAAGATGTCTTGCTGATCGGCTGTCTGACTTGTACTTTTTGTGTTCTGCATTCGATTTGTATGTATGTTCATGCAGGTCGCCAGGTGCTAGCCCTGGATCGGTATCTCTTGTTCCAAGACAGATCAGAACTTACATTACACAGTAGATGTGCAGGTATACTTCAAGTATGTACAATGCCTGTATTCCTTGATTTAACTCTCTAAGGGGCCGGTCACACTGAGGGAAAATTTGGAAAAAAACCTGTGGTTACCATGGATAGTTGCCGCTGAGCGGGAGATTTGAAGATTTAATCCACTCGATGAAAATCAGCTCGAGGCCCCGCTTTTCCGCCGAAGATTATAATCATCCGCGGCTTCCACTAGATTTCTTTGAGTTTCCTTGTTTTTTTATTGTGTTCTGAAGTGGAGAGATACTTTAGAGGCTCTGCTGATGCAACTCTGGCCCAGGAGCGGAGTTGATAGACTGCCAGAAACGAATGATGACAAAAAAAGTAGCTCATGTGGGTGAGATTATTTTCATTGTGCGTATCCAATGTGACCGTGATGAAAAGCAGGAACAAATATTCCCGGTTTATAATCTGAGGATTGTTCCCTCAATGTGACCGGCCCCTAAGTGACAAGATCGTTTCTCAGCTAGTACATTGTATGCAAATGCTGTTTATTTACTCAGGGTGCGTTTGGTTGGTACGATCTAGAACAGGATCAAACAGCTGGTGCACATGGAACAGCCTCATGCCAACCAAACGGTACTCCAGAAACAGAGCACATTTTTGTGGAAAAATGTGCCAAACTTGGCGCATTCTTCAAAATGTGTACGGGTCACCATGGTCACTTTGTACGGTACAACGCGTCCAACCCAAAAGCGTATGCACGTGATCATTTGGGACCAAAATCGATGTTCCTGCCAGGTTTCACTGTGAAAAAGTGAAACTGCCCGATCTGCTCCGGCCTGGAGGCCGGAGCAAGCAGAACATGTTCTGGCCGACCCAGAACAGGTGCAGTCCCAACCAAACGCGCTGTTCTGGTGAATCCTGTTCTAGTTCGTACCAACCAAACGCGCCCTCAGTGCCACGTATTGGAATCCTCCTTCACCACTGCATGGCTGGTTGCGTAGAAAAAAAGGAATTGAACCTGAGAAAATTATGACAAAAAAATGAAGCTCAGGTTCCTCCGGGGTTCGAACCCGGGACCCTTTGCGTGTAAAGCAAATGTGATAACCACTACACCAAGGAACCGTCGCTGATGTTGCTCTGTTGTACATACCCTCTGAATAGACTTTGGTGGGACACTGTTTCCTTTTTGCGAGGGGAAATACTGCGTAGTCCATGAAGCTCGAAGAGAGGAAACGAATGCTGCTGTGCATGTTGAAAAGAAATTGTTGCCAGACTATAGTGCTGTGTGTGTTTTCTCTAGGCAGCCCCGATTTGTAGACTATAGTGCAGCTGCTGTGTGTGTTTTCTCTAGGCAGCCCCGATTTGTACCTCCGTGGTCATTACTCATTCTTCGCCGCTTGCCATACCGTGCATGCAACCCTGCTTTGGAGTACAACAGTCTTGGTTGGTCACTCTGCACTGTTTGCCAGTGTAACCTGCCAAGCAATGTCCTGTGTCATGACACTCTCCCGTCTCAGGGCAGCACTGGTTACATGTTGTACAAGCAGCTGCACACTGGCTTGGAGATAACGTACTCTTGGTGTCACCCAGAGGCATGTTCCCTCGTCCAACTGGCTCTCCAGTAGTGTTCACTAGGATTAAAACATTTAAAATGCCACTTTTGTTAGATTGGCATCCATTGGGAATATTTGCCATTACGTTTTGATGACATTAGTGGACCTCACTCCCCACGATTAGCTTCAGACCTCACAATGAAGCTCACCGGCACATGCTGGTTGACTTTGAAGAGCACCAGCAACGATTTCTTTCAGTTCAACCGAAGCCTGGTCCGACTTTCTCGCATTCCGTACACAGTGTGAAACCGGGACTCATTTCCAGGACGGGGCAACACAGTATGCATATAGAGCTGTATGTGCACTGCGGGTTACACCAGGTGAAATCCAACCCAACGTGCAAAGCTGCCACCCTCGACCAGCTCACGCTGCATCGCTGTATTTGTAGCTGCGTGCGTCCAGCAGAATTCGTGCTACTTTCAGGACATCAATGGTCGTCCAAGTTCTGGGCTCGCTTGGGTTGAATTTTACCTACCACTGGCAACTGTACACAACTGTACCAGTCTGGCTGACTACTACTACTATCATGCGCATTCGGCACAAGTAGCTACATTGTACATACATGCCTTTGTGGTAGTAGCTATTGTGTCATACAAGTACGTGTACCTGTATGTGGTCTTGCCATTCCAGACGAGTGCATGAAAGCCAGTTTTCCTCACACTCAGTAGAAAGTCTTGCCGGTAGTGACATGTTGAAGGACAATCTGTTTAGTTTATACATTGGTCTTCTTTGGAGGACACTCTAGCTACTATGCTGCAAGCAAACTGGCTTCGGTATGGCTGTACGGTCTGACTATAGACCCACTGCATGATTTAAGTTCACTACGGACCGTACCACTTCTCGTTGTTGGTACCCATTTTTTTTTAATGAAATGCTATGATTTTTGGCTGGAAGAGTGCCCTGGAATGGCGCTTACATCCATGACTGTTCATACCATCCTGAAATACCTTCGTACGCCCCTGTTCATTGTACTGTTGAGTTCGAAACAGGACGACTGACAACATATCCCGACATTACAACGGGAACAGGTAGGTTGGGGGACGACATTTATTATAGACGACGAGACAAGAGACCAAGACGAACGAAACGACTACATGATGATTATTGACGAGTGAGAAAAGAGAGAGAGAGAGAGATCAAGTCTAAACGGCAAGATAAAGGGCCTGGGTAGCTATGGCAAATATGGGCGCGCAAGTAGCTACCCAGGCCAACGAAGCAAAAGGAGACAAAAGGTGCGTAGATCATAGATGTCTACGCAAGTGCATGCAGGCCAGCTAGAAAAGGTACGGGAGGGGGTACCTAACAGTACTAAGAAGTGAGTTCGACCTACACTTCTGTGTCATATACAGTAAATGCGGCAATACTACAGTAAAACCTGTCAAGGCGACCACTTGGATAAGGCGACCACTTGGATAAGGCGACCACCTGTCCAAGAAGACCACTGAAACCAGGATAAAGGGATGCTATTTCCAGTCAAATGACCCTGGATAAGGAGACCACCTGGTAACAGAGACCACATTTTGAAGGTCCTTTGAGCGGTCGTCTTAGACAGGCTTCACTGTACATGTATAATCTATTATCCATTTAGGGTCCCTCAAGGCTCAACTCAAACATTCAAAACACCGTCTCTTTGCTGCATACTACTACTACTACTACTACTACTACTACTACTACTACTACTACTAGTACTAGTACTAGTAGTAGTAGGTTACTTTTGAGTGTTTAGAGTGTTCGTGCCTGGCCCATCATCAGAGTGGAAACAGTTGAAACTAGTTACTTACTGCAAACATAACCGAAAAGAATAGATATGCTGCGAGGTGAAAGGTGAAAGGTCACGGCTGTAGTGTTGGAAAAGGACCAAGGAACCACAACGGTTACCTATAGGCTATACACTGTAGACACTAAACACGTGACTTACACCAGTTCCTTGACAATCAACTACCGGTATGCGATAACACGTTCACACTTGCCACGTGATCGTTGCCACGGTTTGACCCAATCAGAGCGGTCACAGGCTGAGCATGAACCTCTGATCATGCCCTGCCAACCACGTCTACTACCATGCACCGCGCTGTACACCCCATCACGTGATCATTCATGCCCTCCTACCATGTGTGAATATACTCCTTCACACATGGTAGGGCATGCTGTCCCCGGGGAAAATTGCGGAAAAAAGCGCAAAAAAACGCGGGGGAAAACGCGGCATAATATGGCATAATTTGCGGTGAATAATATTGATGTGCGGCAATTTTCAGTGAATATGTAGTGAAATCAATCAGTTACAAGTCTCTGGTGTAAGCACTCGTCATATTTGAGTAAAAAGCCGCCACGATGAGACGTTGCTGACCGAACAGTGCACTGTGTGTACGTGTAGTGCAACAAAAAAGTTCAAAAAACGCGGGAAAATCGCGGAAAACGCGGTCTTTTAAAAAATCGCAAAAAACGCGGAAAAAAACGCGGCCGCGGAATCGCAATTTTCCCTGGGGACGGCATGAATGAGTGAATTCACACATGGGTATATTCACACATGGCCATGGGTATATTCGACATACATGCTGTGCATGCCATTCAGGCCCTTGACCAATCAGCACGTCCCAAGAGCGTGTGGAGGTGAAACTGAGCACGATGGGATGAAGGTATAAAAGGAAGGTACTCCTAGGGGTGGTGGTCGGGGGACGTGGAGGACTCAGCTTGTGAGCCTCAGATCCGTACTCTCTCTTGTCAGCTTGTGAGCTTCAGCTCCGTACTCTCTCGTTGAACGGTCCAGGGCTGCTCCAGGGCCTGAATCAACAAAGCCCAAGAGAGTCAGCTTGTGAGCCTCAGATCCGTACTCTCTCTCGTCAGCTTGTGAGCTTCAGCTCCGTACTCTCTCTCTCTCATTGAACAGTCGAGCTTGTGAGCCTCAGATCCGTACTCTCTCTCGTCAGCTTGTGAGCTTCAGGTCCGTACTCTCTCTCGTCGAATGGTGGAGGGCTGCTCCAGGGCCTGAATCAACAAAGCCCAAGAGAGTCAGCTTGTGAGCCTCAGATCTGTACTCTCTCTCCTCAGCTTGTGAGCTTCAGTTCCATACTCTCTCTCGTCGAACGGTTGAGCTTGTGAGCCTCAGATCCGTACTCTCTCTCGTCAGCTTGTGAGCTTCAGGTCCGTACTCTCTCTCGTGGAATGGTGGAGGGCTGCTCCAGGGCCTGAATCAACAAAGCCGGAGAGAGTCAGCTTGTGAGCCTCAGATCCGTACTCTCTCTTGTCAGCTGGTGAGCTTCAGCTCCTTACACTCTCTCTCGTTGAACGGTCCAGCTTGTGAGCCTCAGATCCATACTCTCTCTCGTCAGCTTGTGAGCTTCAGGTCCGTACTCTCTCTCGTCCAAAGGTCGAGGGCTGCTCCAGGGCCTGAATCAACAAAGCCTGAGAGAGTCAGCTTGTGAGCCTCAGATCCGTACTCTCTCTCTCGTCAGCTTGTGAGCTTCAGCTCCGTACTCTCTCTTGTTGAACGGTCCAGCTTGTGAGCCTCAGATCCGTACTCTCTCTGGTCAGCTTGTGAGCTTCAGGTCCGTACTCTCTCTCTCTCTCTCGTGGAATGGTCCAGGGCTGCTCCAGGGCCTGAATCAACAAAGCCCAAGAGAGTCAGCTTGTGAGCCTCAGATCCGTACTCTCTCTCGTCAGCTTGTGAGCTTCAGCTCCGTACTCTCTCTCATCGAACGGTCGAGGGCTGCTCCAGGGCCTGAATCAACAAAGCCCAAGAGAGTCAGCTTGTGAGCCTCAGATCCGTACTCTCTCTCGTCAGCTGGTGAGCTTCAGCTCCGTACTCTCTCTCGTCGAACGGTCGAGCTTGTGAGCCTCAGATCCGTACTCTCTCTGGTCAGCTTGTGAGCTTCAGGTCCGTACTCTCTCTCGTCGAACGGTCGAGGGCTGCTCCAGGGCCTGAATCAACAAAGTCCGAGAGAGTCAGCTTGTGAGCCTCAGATCCGTACTCTCTCTCGTCAGCTTGTGAGCCTCAGATCCGTACTCTCTCTCGTCAGCTTGTGAGCTTCAGCTCCGTACTCTCTCTCGTCGAACGGTCGAGCTTGTGAGCCTCAGATCCGTACTCTCTCTCGTCAGCTTGTGAGCTTCAGGTCCGTACATGTACTCTCTCTCGTCGAACGGTCGAGGGCTGCTCCAGGGCCTGAATCAACAAAGCCCGAGAGAGTACGGACCTGAAACTTCACCTTCCTCAACTTGTGAGCCTCAGATCCGTACTCTCTCTCGTCAGCTTGTGAGCTTCAGCTCCGTACTCTCTCTCGTCGAACGGTCGAGCTTGTGAGCCTCAGATCCGTACTCTCTCTCGTCAGCTTGTGAGCTTCAGGTCCGTACTCTCTCTCGTCGAACGGTCGAGCTTGTGAGCCTCAGATCCGTACTCTCTCTCGTCAGCTTGTGAGCTTCAGGTCCGTACTCTCTCTCGTGGAACGGTCGAGGACTGCTCCAGGGCCTGAATCAACAAAGCCCGAGAGAGTACGGACCTGAAACTTCACCTTCCTTGAGATGACCTGAATCAACAAAAGATGAAACTTCACCTTGGTCGACAATCTCGACATGAAACTTCAGAACTGAGAGCCGAGAGCGCACGGAGCTGGAACTTCAGGACCTGAAACTTTGTGAGCTGAAACTTCAGAACGAAATTTCAGCCGTACCGTGCGCGCGGTCGAGGGCTTGCCCGAGAGCGCACGGGCCTTACTTCAGAACGAAACTTCAGCCGTGCGCTCGACGGCTTGCCCAAGAGCGCACGGACGTGGAACTTCAGCTTGTGAGTTTCTGCCATTGTTGTGCAACGAATGCCATAAAGGACTTGAGAACTTGGGAAGGCAGGCACTCGGTGTTTCTAGTTGATGTATTTCAAGTAAGTAATTAGTTCCATTTATGTAGATTAGTGCAGTACAGTGGCTTTGTTTGCGCTGCTAGCATGCTGTGCGCTTGCACGTGCACGTTCTGCTGAGGAGAGCGTTGTGGCTTTCGCTTGTGCTGTCCTGCGTGGGTGGCAGTGTGAAATACAATCAGACATGGATGTCAGGGCAGGTATCGTTGATTCCGGCCCTCGAGCGGCCCGCGACCTTCGGCCTTGGGCCGCTCTCGGGCCTGAATCAACGAGACTGCCCTGACATCCATGTCTGATTATAGTTTATACTTTAGGTGCACAACACCATATTATGGGCACTGAGTCCCTGACCGACGGTACATGGGCACTGAGTCCCTGACCGACGGTACCAATCAGTTTCAGCACATCTTGGATGCACCCTCCAACTACTGAGTAGTTACTTCTTAGTAAGGTTCCTTGCCACTCATGTCGACTGTCGTGAATCAAGCTAGACCCACACTGTCACCAGGTCACACTCACACAAATCTTTCCTACAACCAGCACAAAGCTACATCTCCATCATCCATCCATATCTCATCATTGCCATCATTCATCAATCAGCAGAGACAGTCAACTCATAATCCGTAGACATCATCGATTCATGACTGCCGCCTGCCGGTCCGTGCCGGACGTGCCGGTGTCATGTAGATCTACATGACATGACTGTAACGTAGCTACATAGAGTCAGATGACTCAGATCTAGGTACAGTAGATCTACCATTATGATACCGTGCGCACTGCGCAGCACATGGTTGAAGAACGACATGAGTCACACTCACCGGACACAGTCTTGCTTGCGGGCCGTGGCCGTGGCCGAGATCCAGCCTGCAGGCTGCACTCAGCTGGAGGCCGGATTAGTTGGCGGGTGCATTTGGCCCGTGGCGTTGGAGCTTTGCGCTACCCGTGATCAGTGATGGCGGACCGTTCTTGGATGGATCCTGGACTGGAGGGGAGGCTAGGCGATGTAGTTCAGCTTCCAACTCTACTGGCTATGTCACTGGTAAGCAAATAATTTACATTATTTTGTGTGGCTAGAGTCATGTGTAATAAATAAGTTCAAGATGAATCAAGGGCATGACTGTACTACCAGTGTTACACGAAACGTCGCTCGTCAAGTGTCAAGTCCAATGCGCGAGCTCAGGCCCTGTGTGGGGAATACCTTTCCTATCGCTAGCGCTCTCTTTACCATTTTTATGATGGAGTCCAACATTCTGCCGCTCGACACGTACACCATGGTACATAAATCTGGACAAATTTTCTTTTTACAAAATCAATACTCTAATTTCAGAAATTTTCGGTACTCAATATTTTCGGTATGAGGGCACCAGGCTAGGTTAGGTGAACAGAAATATTCGGTACAGAGAAGCAGTTCCCTATTATTGGATTATGTGTGTTAGTGTTTGTTCGGTGTATTGAAATTTTAGGTGTGAAACAGACACCGAAAGTACCGAAAATTTGTGAAATCACAGTACTCTCTTTTCACGCGCATATATACGTATACGCGGTCAATACCTGAAATGCGGAGCTGCACCCAGACTGTTTTTGGGTACGACCTCCTGCAGGACAAGGATATTCCTCTTATTTTTTATGAGGAGTGCGAATTTTAGGGCGCCAAGTGTGTCCTTTTCATAGTGAAACTATTGAGTATTGTTCAAACCAGGCTTATAATATTATTTTTGCTAGCTAAACAGACCCGGTTTAGATAGGGTCTGTTCTGCCAGGTATCCATGGAAATGACCATTGGCTTCGCATACAGTCAACTTCGCTTATAACGACACTCGGCGGGGCTTCAGAAAAGTGTCCTTATTCGCGAAGTGTCCTTATACCCGAAGTCTCATTATTATGTATTGCAGTTGGATGGGACTTTGCTCTGGGCATGGAAATTCTGTCGTTATTCGCGAATTGTCGTTATATCCGCAGTCGTTATTAGCCAAGTTGACTGTACATGTACATACACTGTCAATCTAACAATTGCATGTACCTACATGTACCTACATGTAGGTACATGTTTTTCGATTTTGACAGCATGTTACAAGGCGAGGACGCGTAGTGCTCCTGACTACAACCATAAACCGGTTGGCAGAGTCCCGGTCTTGCGACCATTTGAACCGTATTGGGAAAACCCAGGTTCGGACCCTCGTTACTCTACGGGTTGGTAGGATTTTTATAATTTTCGTTTTTTTGTGTTGTAGAAGTCGTCGTGTTGCCAAAGACAAGAAAAAAGAAAAAGAACAAAAGAACAAAAGAAAAAAGAAATAAATCACAAATAATTTAATTACAGAGGAAGACAAGAAAATAACATCACAAATCCTTCCAGACGTGATCCCTGCAGCGGCAGCAACGTGAACAATACTACGGCGGCAACACGACGACTTCTACAACACAAAAAAACGAAAATTATAAAAATCCTACCAACCCGTAGAGTAACGAGGGTCCGAACCTGGGTTTTCCCAATACGGTTCAAATGGTCGCAAGACCGGGACTCTGCCAACCGGTTTATGGTTGTAGTCAGGAGCACTACGCGTCCTCGCCTTGTAACATGCTGTCAAAATCGAAAAACATGTTAACTACCAAGCAAGGCTTCTGTATATACCATGTAGGTACATGTAGGTACATGTAGGTACATGTACCTACATGTACCTACATGTACCTACATGTACAGTGTAGTGGTGCACAAAGCCACAACACAGTCAGGACATGTCACATGAATCATGATGGTAGTCTGACGGAGACAGTAGCCAATGGCTGTGCACATAGTAGGGCTGAGATACATGATTGTACAATGTTGTTGGTTGACAGCATGTAACAAGGTGGAGGATCTAGGACACCTAGTTCCGAAACAATGGCCGCAAAAGTTTTGGTCGTCCCTGAAATGACCATTCGTTGGGGGGGGGGGGGGGGGGGGGGGAGTGCGAGCCAAAATCGCAAGTCGACCAACACTGTATATGCATGCGATTTTCGTCGTCCAGCATAGCAAGTCCAGCATAGCAAGTCCAGCATAGCAAGCTGCATTTGTTTCAGAGGGAGGGGAGGGGGTCCGAGTACGAAATGAATGATTGTCGTTTCAAGGACAACGAAAAACTTTTGCAACGACCCCTTATCTTTGCCAGCAGGGTTTGTGACACCTACCCTTCTGGGAGGGCAGATAATGGACAATTTCTGCGCCCTCTATTTTAGAGGAAGCACGAACCTTTCTCTGGTTATTATAGTTGGTCGTGTGACAAGTCCGCCAAGACTTCAAGAGGTATGCATTGCTTGCTTTTTGTCGTTAAGAAATAAACACTGCTGGTCTGGCAATGCACCCGTCTTGCCGCGTCATTTCTACGTGTATTTCCCATCCAGCGCACCTACCCACTGATCAGTGTGTTGTCATGCAAATCTGCGATTGTGTGCAATGCACAACTGCTGCATGAGTCTACAAGCACACCATAACTATAAGAAGAAAGATGCTGCAATTTCAAAGCATTAGTGGGCGAAAAAAAGAAGACCCCCTTGGTCATCGGTAGCTTATGCTGCTATACTAGTAGATTGTATGTGTAGGCAGGTGCAGTGCTGGCCAAAGAAATCCACCCTCATGAAAAAGTAGCGCCGCGGTAAGCGTTAGCGTTAGAGTGCACAGACCAGTGTGTGTAGTACTAGGGCCGCGCAGCGCCCGGCGCTATTTTATTCATGAGGTCGGATTTCTTTGGCCAGCACTGTACATTAGGCCAAAACAAATAACGACCTTGTTTCTGGTCGGCCGACCGGGCCACTTTTCCCAAATTCTGAAACTTTTTTTGGTCCCAAATGTATACAAACGCCGCAAACGGTGGCAATGCCATGTGTGCAAGTGCACTCAACGAGTCATAACTCAGTCAAATCTCAACCGAATTCCACAGCCGAAACACCTACAAGGTAGCAAAGATTCTCAACTGTCGGCACGAAAACCTCCGGGGTCGATACGAGCTACAATGTAGAAGGACTCGAACTGTTTGCTTGATTTCTCAGGATGTACGAAAACAGGAATACACCGCATGCTGTACAAGAACAGTGAGTCAGTCAACTTTGACATTGATCCTTGCCATGATATACATGTACATGTATGTACAATGTACATTGTACATGTGTAGGTGCTCTTGTCCATCAATACCACAACGATTGAGGAACCAAAAAAAGTATCCAAAAAAAAGTTTCATTCCGGCCGACCAAGTCTCCTTTTTGAGGGGTTGACGAACGGAAACAAGCCTATTTTTTTGTTTTGGCCTCTAGTATCAGTCTTTACACTCAAAAATAAATGTCTGCTGGATACTGGATCCCAGTCAGTCATGCAGCGGCGCAGAGTACATGTACATGTAGTACAATGTAGTTATGTGGACAGGCAACAGACTGACTGGCATTGGTACATGGTGGCCAGTGTGCTGCGTACATGTGTGATTGTGAGGTTCAGAGTGACTGGTACTTATGTAGATACAGTAAGTAGTAAGGAAGGGGATTTGGCATAAAGACAAGTATGTAAATCCTGACACATGTATTTGACTGTACTGTTGAAGTGTACACTTAGTAGACCATGTAGGGTACTGTACATGGTATGATGGGTTGTAGTAGTCTAGTGCCTGTGGAATGTGACACCTTTTCACAGCAGAAAACCTTGTCACATTGCTACTCTTGCCTACTGATCTGGTCGTAAAACACCCAGCAAATCCCAGTAATGCATTTGTAATCTCTGACTGGGGCCAAGTTTTCAGAGCCCCACCTCAAAGGAGCCTCAAGTGGTTCATTACCTGCATGTGAAGTGGGCCTGGCACTCCTGGCGTGTCCTCCCATGCCTTATGTAGGGACAGATTTAAAACTGACTGGATTTTGCGGTCAAAGAATACAGCCCAGAAACATAACTACAGTGTACTTCACAAGTCAATGATCAGTGAGGGGCCTGAGCAGGCTGAGGCAGTGAGGGGCCTACATTACACTGACTGTCTACACTCTACAGCCCATAGTAATTATAGGCTGGTTATGAACGTACATGTATGTCATTACATGTATCTGAACTGAGATATTATAGTAGTGAGACGTAGATCTCGACTTTAGTCAGACTGCAGGCTAATGACTAATTATAATAATTATGTGTTTGATTTGAGTCCAGACTTGTAGACAGAGGCACCTACATAACTACATAACATCAAGAGTAGCATTCTCTCCGCAGATTGAGTAACATCAAGCAAGGGTGCATAACCAAGATCGAGTGTGCATTGTGCAACTCCAAGATCGGCTCACCCATGCCATAATCATGATAATGCGTAGCCAGAGATCAAAGTACAATGTGTACATCACAGCTGCCATGCATAGTGGAAGCAGAATATGAAAAACGGACCTGAGTGTCCATAACCTGCATGGCCTGATGAACTCTATGTATCTAAAAAAAACAAGCTGGGGGGGGGGGGGAAGCATACGCACTTGATACATACTCCTGCCAAAGAATGAGGAAATGAAACAAATTCCGCCGTGGGTGAACCCATCACAGCTCGAGATCGGAGTTGCACACTCATGTATCTACTCTTGATGACATGCATCCACCAGCTGCAGAACTGGCTTTGGATTGAAACACAGTGTATCCAACACTAACCCTTGTATTTCCGTCTGTTGTCTGCAGCTGGTGGCAAACAGCAATGGTGAGCACTGGTGATCCGCCGTAGCTAAAGCTGCGTTCGTTTGGGACATGTGGGTGCCTCCAATCATTTGACTGAGTCATAAATTCACTCCTTCAAAGTCACCTGTTCAGGTGAGCTTCACTGTATCAGTAGGTTGTACAGTACAGTGTAGTGAGCAGTTGGTGCTCTCCGTTTAGGCTTGCCGGGATGATGACCTTCCAACTGTTTTAGTTTTCTCCCTTGTTGTGTGCTTGTGCGTTACCTGGCTCTAGTTCTAAAGGAAAGACACGTATGGTAGTGCCTGTAGTACGGTTCTGTTCTTTCCGGCCATTCATAGCCCCTCTCCTGCAGGGTACTAACAGTAGTACTTTTTTCTATCCAGCTGGTTCAGCTGAGCAAGGACCAGCTCACAGATTACAGGTAAACCATTTTGATCACGTGTGGATTCACCCCACATAAAATGTCATGAATCACTGAACAACTAATCAGTCTAATGTGATCAAGTCATAAGCAACTGCATGTACATGTATTTTCGTGTCTTCAATAAACTAACAATAACCCATTGAATTGTCATGTAGCACTTTGCTCCGTCTATTCCTATTCATTGTCCCTGTTTCAGCATAGAAGGAGGGAGTCCACAAAGGGAGTGAGAATCAGCTGGCTGACTTTGCATCCCTGGGCCACGGCCAAGTCAAAGTGAGTGTTCGAAAACATTGTACAATCACCTTTGCCATAAACGAGGATGCCTTTCTGACTGGATATGAATGAAAAATACAAGTCTTTCTTGTTGATTGAAGTCACGGCGTTTTTTTGTTTCTGGAGGAAGGATCATTTCAAGAAAAACTGCCCTCTTGGAGGATCCCAGCTCCAGGCACTTCCATCTACTAGGCACCGTTCTGACCCCTCTAGAATCACAAAAATCGGATTTCAAAGGAAAAACATCAATCATGGTCCGCATGATAGTCCGTGTTTCCGCATCCGTAGGAGCGCCATTCCCTCAAGGTTAAATTCGAAGATGCAGCTCGTAAAGCGGCGATGTGGATTGACATAAAAAATGCACTTCCATTCATTAATTTTGTCCCAAGGGAAGGAGAGACGTTAGTTATGGCCTGTACCTGGTCCCAACGTACCCAGATAAGGGCAGTTTTTCTGAGCAGTATTAATATTCTGCCAACCTGGACGATTTGATAAAACTAATTACTTACATGACAGACTGTATGGGTGTTTGGTTTGAGTAGGTTGCAAAGCTAGATGCTAGTGCCTAGTAGTAGTAGTGGTGGCCCTGGCCCAAGTCACACAGTTACATGTACAGTCATGTAGTTAGTGTGCTAGCTGTTGGTGTTTGGTCTGTGGATGGATGCCTAGCCTGTAGCCTGCAGGCACTGGAAAGATGTTTTCTTCTCTGATTTGTTAGTGTTGGTACATGTAATGATATGTGCAGGGCCTAGGGACTGTCCAGGTACATGTACATGTACTAGGTGCAGGGAGAAAATACCTCAGTATGTAAAGGTGTCAAAGTGCTATGCAATGACAATGCTCTGATATGCTCCTCAAGTGATAGCAATGGTGTACTTTCTGCACCAGTGGTGAAACTGGGGCAGCCTGTTTGTCTGCTGAAGAAACATGGTCTTTGTGTTAGTGACACTTTAGGGCTGGCAGAGTGGGCACTTAGTTCAAACCACAGGTCAGGAAACAAGATGATGTGATCAGCTCTAGCCCTGCCACTAGAGTGCAGTAGAGCATCAGGCATGTGTGTGAATTTGTAGCTTTCAGTGCAACTAGTGGCCAGTCTGAGTGTCTGTGTAGGGCGACAGGATCATCAGCAGATTGAGCACTTGTTACACTGACCTGGAATGTTGCCTGTGGGCACAAGGCACATGCTACTGTTGAGCACAGGCATATCACTCACACTACTACAGTCTAGTACTGTAGTGCATCCCTTATCTCCTGCAGTCCTGGCCCAAGACTGATGTCAATGAGAGCAGAGAGGCGCTAGGCCAGATAAGACCCCTGACTACCTGCACTGGGTTGTCCAGATCCAGCAAGGAGAGGGGGGGGGGGTGCATACTGTATCTTGGCTGCTGTATCATGCACTGGGTGCCAAGATGACTCCTATCTGTGATAATCAATAGAATTATTTTATACGCCTGGTGTTTTTGCCATGGCTAAGGATTAGTAGCTACATGTACTGTACTTGGGCCATGACTTTGCGCAAAGATAACAACTGAATGAAGACTGAGCCATCTACTGTAGGCTAAATCAAAGGTTTTCTGGAGATTCTCCAATCAGTAGTGAAGCATAACGGTGCTTACTGATGCCCTGCATTGTGATCTGTTGAAACCCAGACGCAAGATGGAGACAGCCTACAGGCCAGTTTGGTGGTTCGCCTGACGCATGCCAAGGACTTGGGTAAGGCACATGCTGGCTCATACCTGTTTATCCTGCCATTGCCATTGCTATGTGAACACTACAACTTAGTACAAGTACAAGCAAGTAGTTTGTTGTACAGTCATGCTAGGATGGATACTTGTAGAATCACGTTACATCTCAGTACATGTCACTGTATGTACATAATTGGTATGTTTTATGTGCAGGGCCAGGGCCCCCCCCCCCCCAGGGAGTGTGCACAAGAAAGCTCTGTGCATGTGCCTGCATTCTTCAGGCAAGTAAAGTAGTTAGTTACACCAGTATAATGGCTTTATGTCCCTCTGGTATTTGCTGCCTCAGGGCTCAAAGCAGAAGGTGTGCCTGGTGTCAGTGGGCACAGCAGCAGTCAGGGCCATGGTGTAGAGAGCTCTAGTCTAGAGGCTGCATGCTGGAGCATGTCAGCTTCCAACAGTGCAGTGCAGTGCATGCTGGTCTTTGGAACTGTTTTCAGTACTACATGTATCACATGTATACGTACCAGGGAGGCCAAGTTTTGCCTCTGAGTCTCTGACACATGCATCTAGCATTACATGATTATAATATATAATGTCACTGTGTAAGCATTTGCAGACTGTTTGTTTTACTTGACAAATCAAACGCATGCGGTTTATTACTTCCAGAGTGGATTTGACTGTTGCCAGTGTTGGTCTGTAGTCTAGAAGCATAAACCTTGGCTGCGGGTGGATCTATGGCCCCTGTAGAAGGGGTACAGTCTAGTGCAAGTAGCGCAAGTACTGTACTTGCCTTTGACAATATACGTACATTGTACGTTATACCCCTGGGCCCTGGGCTGCATATCAACACACTCTAGTACTCTACACGTACATGACATTGTACAGTACACTACAGTCTACATTGTAGTGCAGGGCAAGCCATCAAGCAGTTGTGCGCTTTTAGTTTTACACGCACTGGGCCCTGCATGGGGTGGCAGTTCCAGTCACCTGTGCAACTTACTTAGCTACTCTACTGTACTGTGCCACCACCACCACTGCCCACCAGGCACCTGCACTATGATTACTGCATGACTGTACTGGATGTTGATCAGTACTACATGCATGTACTTGTGCTCTTGTGGGCCAGGCATTCATGCAGCCAGCTACTGCACTAGCACTACATTGTAGTTGTGTATGGTGTAGTGCCTAGTACTAGTAGTAGTGGTGCGGTCACGGGATGGGCTACCTGGTCACGCGCATCACACTCACGGCTCTCACTTGGAGGCATACATACTGGTTTTCTGTCTGGCTGTACGGTGGGATTTCCCGGGTTTGTTCCCGCAAGAAAATGGGAATGGTGTGTGACTGTGTTTTTCATGCACTCACTGTCCCTGAGGTGATATGTGAGCATGTGTACATACTGTGCATGTGGCTTCCGTTCTCAAGTGCTCTCTTCCGACAGCTGCCTATTTCACTGGCTCTTGGCTGGTTCCTAATGTCCTTCATAGGAAGATACTGCTTTCTTCTGCGCTGCGTGTGACGTTTCAATAAGCATGAGGAATGCCGGCGGCGAATGTGTACTGCGGGACATGGAAGTTACTGCTATTAATTATTATTGGTTGTATGTAAAATATTGCTGCTTGCATGAATGCATGTGCATCGACCTGTACAGTCATGTACATGTACATGCCGTGCATTGCAGAGTTTTGCTTGAGGAGGCTATAACTTCGAAATCACCTCCACTATGATCTAGTGTGTGCCGCGCCGACATGGAGGCAAGTGATGGTTGGTACCCCCCCCCCCCCCACACACACACACGCACCGACCCGAGCTCACCATTCAGGCTGGCGTATTTAAAATGCCTAACTGCCACTGTAAGATGCGATCGTCAAGTTAGTTGTACTTGTCTCCCTGTGTGCTGCATGTATTTCCATATGGCTGTATCTGCAGGAGTATCTACTGCTTTGCTAATGCCACGTGATGTGCAAGTGATGCGTCTGCCGAAGAAAATGTCTCAGCCCGTAGACCCATGATTATCCCAACTCAGTTACCCATCGCCAACGCACTGCCCGCCTGCCTGGGAAACTGGAAACACCCAGTGGATGTGATCACATGCTGCATTGCACGTTGCCTAACCCGCGGCAACGGCCATATCATCAACGCACATACCGTTTACTTACTGCGACCGTGCCCCAAGCAAAGTAAGTCCACAGATGTGCTTGCTTTGCTGTAGACAACCAGCCAACCAGCCAACCTTCTAAGTTCTATTACCAGACGCCTTTCTCCAGATCTATGGACGTTGAGTTTGAGTTCCTCTGATCGAGTGTAGTACCGCCAAGCCATGAAGCAACGAATCAGCCACTGTGCTCTGTACCATTCATACAGTGTCATCAGCACTTTGTCAGGTGTGTAGCTGCTGCTTCTGCTCCTGTCTGGATGACACTTGGCAGCATGTTTTCTGGGGCCTTGGGCCCTGAGGGAGCTGACAGATGACATCCAGTGTCTCTTCAAGCTCCTCTGCTGGAATTGAGCTGTAAGGTTCCCAGGGGTCTTGCTGACATTCACTTGGCAGTTAGGACATGTCAAGCTGCAGCAGATACTGTCATATTCGCGCTTGAATCTTGCCACACCCCCAGCGATGCCGGCCTAGCGCCTGCAGCTCTGCCCTCACTGGTGTCAGAGCTGGTCTTCAATTTTCATTCTCACTTCACTGTGCTGGTGAGTGGCTGTACTGTACCATTGCTAATTCCTCTGCCTGCGAGGGATTAATCGTTGCACTATCACTGAGAACGTATTATCACTAGGGGTGACACGAAGGTCTCAATTTGCCAAACAATCCTTCTTCATCACAGCAGACATTCTTTCGTTAAATAAATTCACACCGCATGGCCAGATGTGCTTTGAGTCAACAGGTGGGCACCATACATATGCGTACTATTTGAAGCGGTCTTTCCCAATGACTGGTGCTTTGAAGTGATACATTTCTTAGGAGGGCCAAAGTCATAAGGGTATGTTTGATTTTCTCTTTGCATACGGCCTTGTGCTCGGCTCTCTTGGCACAGCCGTATCGCTTTCGAACGTAAACAAATCCATACTCTTTCTTCTCTTTCCATTCTGCTAGTGATGCAGTAACGGAATGTGTACTTCAAAAACGGACCGTGGCTCTCTCAAAAACTACAAATCAATTATCGACACATCCACATTCCATGCTGTGGGCGTGTTGTATGTGTGTGCCGGTGACGTGTGCGTGTGTGTGTGTGTGTGTGCCGGTGTGTGCCGGTGTGTGTGTATGTGTATGTGTGCGTGCGTGTGTGTGCGTGTTGTATGTGTGTGTATGTGTGTGTCGGTGTGTGTGCGTGTGTGCGTGTGTATGTGTGTTTGCATGTGTGTGCATGTGTAATCAATAAATGCATGTGCATGCAAGTGTACAGTTCTGGCCATAGAAATCCAACCCCATGAAATAAAGCAGCGCCACTTTCGAATGAGCAGAGTGGTGTGTTGTGGTGCTAGGGTCGCATATCCCTCAGCGCTATTGATATATTCATGAAGTCGGATTTCTCTGACCAGGACTATGTGCCTGTACACATGGGCACAAGCATGAAATCATTGCTACTGGGTTCTATCGTGTTCAGCTTCTGTACTACAGGCAAATTATCGAAAACATTCTATTTTGCCTTGAGAATCAGAGCAGTGCATCCGGGCAAGTGTAAGGCTAAACTTCGTTGCTACCGTCTGGAGTTTAAATTGTTCTAGGCCTTGAAACTCCACAATAACAAGGAAATTTAGCCATGTTCCATTGCAAACACGTGTCATTTAGCTCTGCCCTTGTCGCACTTTTTCAAGTAAAATAAGCAACTTAGCTTGCACAGAAAGCCAAAAAAGCCTTGTCATGCCAAAAGCCTGGACATCTTCATTTGGTTTGGGAGAAAGGTGCAAGACGGGAAAATACTGTGGCATTTCGCCAGAACTGTGAAAGGGCATCTATACAGGCGCTAGCTGAGCACCACATTAGGTATGCTAAGCTAGCTATGCACTTTGCTGTGGTAGTACTAGTAGACCTTTCAGGCACTACTCACATTTGCACGCACTTCTCTGACACCAAACACAATGCCACTCCGCACTGACATGCCTCTGTCCTCCTTCTTTGTGCGTTGCGCTTATTCTTATTAATTTTTGTGTTTCTGTTTCGGTACATTTCGTATTTCAAGACATACCCCGAGGCTATAGGTATCATTGATTAAAGGACCATTCTGGAACATTCAGCATAATTGTATTTCTCTTGCTAGGCTGTTCATTACGAATTATTAGCCCTCCACTGTCTGCTATCTCAACCCTACAGCCTCCCATTATAATGGAACTCCCTTCAATTTAGACTACGTCTTTGGGAAATCCTCAAATATATATAATAATAATAAAATATTAGACATTATCCACTTACAGCTCGATGTTTGATCAAAAAAATGATCCAGATGTGCCTAACTCTGGTACATAGCCCACTTAATTAGAGTACTTGACCATCGGATTTTCTTCAGGAACTGTGACTTTGAAATTCTCCGTGAAGTCCAAATTTGAAATTGCAAACTGTTAACTACATGTACTACAATATAACTACTCTGTCCCCCGTATACTACGCCAACACATGATATCTGCATAATTACACGTCACTAACCCTCAGGCACACGTTCCGCCTCGGCCATGCAACATTTTGATCAGAGCGCAGTCGGCGTGTGGGAGTAGTGCCTGAAAGGTCTACTAGTACTACTACCACAGCAAAGTGCATAACTAGCTTAGCATACCTTATGTGGTGCTCAGCTAGCGCCTGTATAGATGCCCTTTCACAGTTCTGGCGAAATGCCACCGTATCCATAGAACTTTCTGTATAGTCATTGCATAACTATGCACATCATTTGAGAGACTTCTTGGCCCTCCAACTTCCAAGCCAATCATGGGGGATATAGACTACTGCTACGGACAACACCCGACTTATTGATGACACAAACGTTTGGACAAAATAGTGCTCGAGTTAAAGGCCACCAGGTGCAATCATTTCCTATCCTCAAATTTTTGCTGGGCCCTTGCATGATTTTCACGTTTACAGTCACATCTAGTTAATATACACCTAGGCATGCTTCCTGCTATATTAGTATTACCTACACAAGCGACTACAATACAATGTAGCACACGCACACATGCAGAGGATTGCCTTTACGCCCAGATGTAGCACACATGCAGAGGATTGCCTTTACGCCCAGATGTAGCACACGCACACATGCAGAGGATTGCCTTTACGCCCAGATATTGTAGCACACGCACACATGCAGAGGATTGCCTTTACGCCCAGCAAGCTGGGCAATTTTTTGAACTAGAATCGGAAACTGATAAAAGCACAGAAACAAGGGTAAGAAGCACTGCAGCAGTGCAGGACAGAATGGGATTGATCACACGACAGGACAGATGGGATTGATCACACGAGACAACAGTGGGAGACACATACTGTGACATAGGTCCCATTAGCGACCGCGTGACATGGTGGAAACTAAAACGGAAAACCATAATGGTGATGGAACGAAATAGACAATTGGGCATGTGAGGATAGTTTAAAATAGAGTCACGTTATTTCAGTAAGGTTGGTGTGATGTATAGGATAATCCGGAGATATCTATGAGCCAACAAAAAACATTACTACTGGTGATGCAACATACCAACAGTGGAAACACAGGATGATTTGTTTTACACAATGCTTCGTTGTTGATAGTAGCCGCCACTGGGCTCGCAATCTTTGCCGAGGACAATGGCGAGACGAAGACTGTATAGCATCAGGACCATGATGGACAGGTGGATCAGGATGTTGACGAATACGTTGGGTTTATTTTGAACCATGACGATGATTTGTTCTACAGTTTTTTTTTGTTCTTTTTATGATGATGGTGGGCATTTCAATGATCATGATAATGATGACAGATCAGAGGAAGAGCAGAATGATATCGAGGGGCACAAATGCAGGTTTCTGAACAGCAAAATAATTATGGTGTTCGATTCCTGGCACATATGGTAGCCCTCTGTCGTTGATAAGAACCATAGTTGAATAGTTCGGTTTCGACCTGGTCAGACCAGGTCTGGACGGTGCCGTCACAAGAAGCTTCCAAGACTAAAAGAGGAACTGACTGATGCCGAGACGAGAGACAGTTTCTTTCGGACTTGTTAGGGAAGCAGGGGGCATGCACTCAGAATGGACTATTTACAAACCACTAGTACTTAAAATGTTTGTACGGGGGGAGGGGGGTGTGTGCACACGTGCATGCGTAGTACTAGTAGTAGTAGCAGTAAAAACAATCTTGTTCGGTCTCGTCTAGACTATGTACATTATTTACAGGGTTCACCAGACTAGAACTGAACAGTTTACGGCTGGGCCACTGCCATTGGCCAATAAGGCTGAGGCTGCACTGAGATGGGTTGGTCAGTGCATAGCCCAATAAGGCTGAGGTTGCACTGAGATGGGCTGGTCAGCTCCATTACCAGCAATAGCACCGGATACTGGGCGCGGCAAGGCAACTGCGGCGCTTTCAACCACACTCACCTGTGGCTGCGAGAACCGGCTGGTGGATGCAACCATGGGCACCTGCTGATAGGTGGCAGTGACTCGCTGCTGATACTGTGGAACACCTCCCTGCTGATAAGGTACAGTGACCACTTGTTGCTGCTGCTGCTGCTGCTGCTGCTGCTCTCTAGCTGTATGGTGGGCATTCAGATGGCTGAAGCCCGGGCGGTAGGTAAAGGCACCACCTGCTTGTTGGATGGCAGCAGTATCCGCCAGCGCGTGCCCAGCAGTGGTAAATGCAGCAGGGTCAACATGCTGGCCAAGCACTGACTGATGGTGTGCAGTCGGAGAGTTAAGAAGTTGCTGCGGTTGTTGGACCAGCGGGAATTGGTGGTGTTGAATGCCTGCACCTGCACCTGCTACAACGTTCTGAGCACTGTACTGATGGGACAAGCCTAGCCCCCTGGAGCTACTGTTGGCCGGTTCCATCATAGATGGATGATGTCGCGCTCCTAACACCATCGCTGCTGCTGCTGGATCCGAGAGAAGTGCCCCGTAATACATTGAGTTCAACATGCCTGGATGGCTATGTTGGTGCTGTTGCTGGTGCTGCTGCTGCTGAGCCATGTGAAAGCCATAAGCGTTGTAATGCTGCGGCTGACGTTGCGGGCAGTACGCTTTCAGGTGGTCAGGAGCAAAGCAAATGTGGCATTTCTTTGGGATTGCCGGCTGCGCACAATCCTTGGCGATATGCCCGACGTTGCCACAGTTATAACACTTGTTGTTACGGCGCCTAGTCCTGGAACGCATGCTACCTACCACGTCCTCACCATTCAGACCCTGCACGAAAGTCGCCTCTTGTCCCCTGTCCGCATGTTTCACCTTCATACGGACGCCTTCGCCTTCACCTAAGGACCTATAGCCTTGTCTCTGGATCTGCATCTGCAAGGGTAAAAACAAACAAAAATTAATGCAAGAACCTCACTCAGTCCTCAGTCTACAAAGCATGTATGTACATTGTACACGCATGTATGGTGTCATCTGACTACTTTCTAGGCCTGTATACTGCAATCCATCATAGCGCTAGCACATAGCTCACGTTACTACACGCTGAGCGCTAGCACATACTACGGTACTATTACTAGTGACATAGCTACTACTACACGCTGTCAGTTCTGAGTTCTAGAGTTTCACGACGTATTACTACGATCATCAGGCAACTGATGCAGTGACTCCAAAATGGGGAGCCTGACCACTTGATAACGACTAACGTAAAGCTTTAGGTTATTTTATTGATCTTCAAGTTAGCTCACTTCGCAGGAAAAGGGTGAGTAAAACCTCCTAAAGATGTGAAGCAGGTGGGCGCTGTTATTACTTGAGGGGGGTACAGAGAATCATGGCATGCGTGTACATAATATATCTTACTTGGTGAACAAATACATCCTCTTGGTTATCATTGCGGGTGATGAACCCGTACCCACGGACGCTGTTGAACCATTTAACCTTTCCTTCGACGTAGGTATGACTCTGATCACCACCTTCACCTTGTGCAGGTGCGCCGATCGTTTCGACTGTGCCATCGGCTTGAGCTGCAGCAGGCGTTTGTCCTTCGCGTCCTTCGACTAGTGGCAATGACCCTTCGACTAGTGGCAATGACCCTTCGGCGGGGCGACTTATAGAGAGCTCATTCACACTCGTAATTAAACCGTGCACTTCAAGCACATCTCCCTGGCACTGTCCATTTGCCTCTGCTGCTGCTATTGCTCGTGCTTCTACTGGTAGCGTTGCTGCTGTTTCTGGTGCTGCTGCTGTTGCTGTTTCTGGTGCTGTTTCTGCTGCTACTGGTGCGCGTAGTGGGGTTGACTCCTGTTGTTCTTTTTGTACAGTTTGTACCGTTGACTCTAGTAATGGTCGAGTGCAATAGAACACGGCACACAGAGAAGCATCCACACCACACACGCATACCGGTACGCACAGACATTGCAAAAATACATATTCATAATTATCAGAAATTGTCAGAAACTAGAAATCACAATGCACTTCAAACCACAACAGCCGTAGCAGGAGCCGGTTCGGAAACCCCGAAAGGAAGAGAGAAAAAACGGCAAACGCGTGCGTGGCGAGCGAAAGCGACACGAGAAATTGATAAGACATGTAGCATTTCTCGAGCAGCACTACTAGCAGTAGCAGTAACAGTCCTGCAAAACTGAATGAGTACACGCACGGTTTACAACGTCCGCAGCGGTGAATTATGTGAATGACCGACGGCGCTTGCCAGGGCCGAGGAGATCACAACGCACACTACTACTAGTTGAATGCAAACGTCGGCTTAGCTGCAGTAGGCGGCGAATACTCGCGGCGAATACTGAGAAAAAAACTGTATCCTCACAGTGTCTGTGCGCTCGAACAAGACAGTCGCTCAGACTAGTACGCAGTACGGATGGTGGAGAGTACAGACACTGCTAGCTGCTAGTGTCCAAGAACAAGCTGTACACTGGACGTCGGTGTGCCGGCAATCACTACTACACCATGCATAATATTACCAGCCTTGTCCAAGAAAGTACACCCTACGAGTACTCACCTTGGAATTCCGCCATTATCGTGATCTAGGAGTAGGAGTAGCCGATGTATCTTGAGGCACTAGCAGGAAGAATGCTGAGACACTACTAGTTACAACAGCAAAAACACAAGCACTACCGTAAGGTGGATTTTACTACAACTGCCTGCGCACAGTCACCCATCAGCATTTATACCATCTTACTAGTAGTAATACAGTGGTAGTACTGTAGTGTAGATAGACTAAGCAGCCTACCTGGCCTGCTAGAGAGTAGAGTACTGGTAGAAATCATTGGCGCGTTTGTTAGATGCTATACTAGTCGTAGTACCCAGACGGCCAGAGCCGCAGAGGCTCCCACGTAGATCTACCACAGTACCAGTACCACACACTCACACAAATCACTTGTACCTGGTACTTGTTTGTAGCGACCGTGGTATGCATGCACGATCAAGAGCTAGAGCTAGAGTTAGTTGCACTTGAGCTTGACATCATGTCAGATCACATCATCACAGTCCCCCGCCATGTGCCAGATACTATGAGATAGTCTTTAGTCATGATGATCCATAGCCTAATGCATACTTGTACATGTACTATCATGTCTGTGTAGTGTACTAGTACTACTACTACTAGAGTAGCATGCTAGCATGCAGCATGCCCCTCTACATCATGCTATTACTACTGAAGTGGACATGGGAAATCCGGTCGCACGTCTAGCGGCCCCAGGGCGCTGGTCATGCAGCCGTGGGTAAGCACACGTACATGCAGCCTGCAGCGCGATCAACAACAATCAACATGACTAGCACTGCACCGATTACATTCTGTACGCGCTGAGATGAGGGCGCCGGCCCCCGGTCAATCGACTGGATTTCCATGTCCACGACAGTGCATGTGGCCTTTTTGTGGGAGGAGAAGAGAAGAAAGATTAAATAAAAGAGTGAACTGCGCCTGACGTCATGACCCGCACAGCTCTTGTTACATGAGTCATGACTGTACAGTCATCATGGTCATGTAGTTGCACTTGTACCTACTACAGTCAAACCTCTTTAGGACGAACATCAAGGGACCGATGATATTTGTTCGCAATAACGGGAGTTGGTATGGTATGGTATTGATCTATTTTGAATTCGGTATCTCAACAGTACATTGTACAACTTGGGAAGATCCGAATGACATAGATACATAAACATAAAAGTGGAGTAGGTGCTACAGCTGATCATTTTATCGCAGGTTGTGGGACTATTAAAAACTAATACCAGTATGCAAGTACACAAGAAATAAAAGCTGAATAAATACATGTACATGTACGACTGCATGACATCGGAGAAAAGCACCAATTAGAGCAAAACAAAGCGACACATCACTCATTGAAAACATTGTCTTCTTATCCATAATATGTTTTGCCCAGTGAATACACAGGGTTTTATCCAATACAGTTACGAATACTAGTTCTTCTTAGGCAAACATTTGTCTTATCAGTGTTCTTCCTCAGAACCACGTTTCACTGTAGTCTGTAGTGCTACTCCTTTGACAAAGGCTTTGTTGTCTTTGTATTTTGTCTTTGGTCTCTTTTATTCAGAAAGTGTCTCTTTTATTACCTCCATTACTTTGTAGGGATGTGCACATAGTATTAAAAAATGTACTAGTAGTACTGTGCACATAATGATTACCGGTATGTACAGTGTAACAATAATATTATTCATTTATTTATTGTTATGCACTGCGCAGGGCTAGGGTGCCGTTAGATCAGCTGACTCTGTACAGCACTACCAATACCAGACCGAGTCGACTACATGATTGTACAGCCTGCTGAACTAATAATACTTCGCCTTTTAGTATTACTTGAAAACAAACCGGGTGTCGGAATGAAGAACTGACGTGTTACTTGAAAAGCGCAAGCAAAGAGGGCAATGGCGACAAATCCAGTCAAGTACATGTAAATACAGCCTGCTAGTACTAGTAGTAGTACAACTTTGAGAACGGTTTTATTCACAACACCAATTGGGCCAATCGCGTGAAACCATGAAGACAAGAGTCAAAGCCAATAGTCAACCCAATTGTTTCGGGAAGAAATAAACACACACGGAAGGTTGAGTGTGGTCCTCGAAAGAGTGCTCAATGCACCGGGGTGCAGAGCTTCATAGAAAAGGAATAGAATACGAAGCCAACACAAGCTTCGTATTCTATTCCTTTTGTAAAATTGAACACAAAAGCTTCACAAGAAATCGTTACGTAACAAGATTGCCTACCGCGTACCGGCATGCAAAGGCGAAGTCACGCCTCTGCCCGTGTCAGCACAGCCGCCCCGGCGGCGACCTTGCGGCAAATGTACTAGTACATTTACATGTAAGAGGCTAGGCTCTGCAGCCCCTAAAGCACGTGACTGCCCACCGCAAATGAAGCACGGGTGCGTTACCCACTCAGTACTGCTACTTCTTTTGCTTTCTCTCTTGCTTAACGTGGAATTGTTTTCTGCCCGTAAAAGTGGTTTGGTCAGTACTACTTGAGAACGGGTTTCTTCACAACGTTAACGCTACCAATCGCGTGAAACCAATCGCGTGAAACCACGAATTAAGAATTCTAGAAACAACGCAAAAGACGACTTAGGAGCGTGCTTTTATTGACCACATCAAAATTAATGATGATGCAAAGAAAGAAAAGGATACCGGAAACATGATGCTGGATTTGAAAGAAGAAGAGAAAAAGGAAGAAGAAAAGAAACCTGACCAAGAGAACGCACCCGGGAAGCAAAAATTACTTACAAAAGTCATGTACATGTACATGTACATGTACATGTGCAGGGCAAAGTTCTCAGTACGCTCGTACAAGTACAGGCCGGGCCCGCGGCGCGCGGCTACATGACATTGACACTTTACTGTCTGCGCGCGTGGGGGGCCTGTCAAATCGTACTAGTACGTCTTTGCGGCACACACTCCGCTCCCAACAGTGGCAATACCCTGCACCAACACACAGAAGGTTCTGCTGAGAGCGCGGTGGCTCGGCAATGGCGAAGTATCCTCAAAGACACAAGCTTTCCAACTCTCTTCGGTAGGAACGCGTAGATGCACGCACTGTATGTAGTAGTACAACACCACCGCTTGACTCTGACTCTGGCTTACTTCATCAAGTTCATGGTTTCACGCGATTGGTGCTGCGAACAAAACCGCTCTCAAGTACACAACACCGACACGTTTTAACCGACTCTGCCAAGCCAGGGCTGGACCTCTCGAGTCTCGACCCGTACCCTGCAATCGCCACTGGAAGTGGCAATTCAATGCATGCCCCCAGCCATGCACGCTCGGAATAAAACAACAACAAAAGCTAGCAATTGCGCAAGATAAGAGCAGCCCTAGCCCTCCTGTGAAAAAGTGGCGCCCCCATACGTGTACTACTCTTTGTCGGTGTTTGTATTTTCTAATGCCATTCAAGGAAATTGCAGTGGGTAGTCACTACAAAAAATTGTAGTGCTAGACTAGAGGGGCTCAAGCTCAACTGATGAGGGGTGAATTTCAATTCCCCGAAACACTGTGTACTATTGAGCAGGGAGTGGTGCTTTCTTACAGGTTTGCCGAGTCGAAGGTTCAACGGACCTCTCGTGTGCACTGGATGGCAGTCGTGAGTCAGTCAAGTCATAGAGCTACAGCAAAAGTATAGATTGAGAACCTCACGCTAGTATCATAGTAATAGTATACGTGTGGAAAAAATAAAATCCAGCTGAACAAGTCAACAACAGTGTGAAGGACTAGGTGAAGAAATAACTGAAACATGATGAAAACATCAATGAGAAGAAGCATTCGTGACACTTTCACGAGGATTAGCGCCAAACAACTGAAGTGACAAAACATTTTCCTTCTGAACACATACAATCATGTACAAACAAGGCCGGTCCTGGAAGCTCGAGGTAGAGTGCTCAATGTACGAATGTACAGAGCCGTATACACACACAACAGAGGCGAAAGGCTGTGTTAGCTGTAACTTAAAGTTTCACGCATCGAGCGATCATCAGACAGCAGCATTCACTATCGAATTCTCTACGAGCAGGCCTAGATATTGATGCTAGTGTGGAAGTTAGTGCATATGTGCGAAGTGAAGACGTGGCATTGGGACAATGGTATTGAGTTGTTTTGTGAGAGTTAACGGATAAAGGTGAGAATAGAGGGCAGTGTTACCGAGTCATTAAAGGCGATAGCGACGGTAGCGCAAGACCACAGCAAGAGTGAAGAGGGAGAGAGAAAGCACCATGGCGCCAAACCTGGTGCAGGTTGCGCCATGTCGAAAAACTCACGTAACTGATGGTGAGAATCTGGACAAGTAATACTTGTTCTCGTGTCAAAACGGTCAACATCAACAAAAGGTCGGAGTTGGTGTCGAAATGCAGACACGAGAACGCCGTTTGGGTTTGAAATTCTTTTAGATCCATTTTTATCTCTTTGCCCTTGTCTACAGTGTGCGAAGAACGCGAGTTCAACTTCTTGACGGTAAGGCTTATGTTAGATGTGTTGTCGAAATACTCATATTCATTGTACATTGGTACGTTACAAGTAAGGCACTGGTCAGTGGCATACTATCGTTGGCAGTTCCCAATCTGGAGGGAAAGGTTCAAGTACCAATTGACCGAGTTTGCAAAATAAATTCGCATATCAGGGGAAATCTCTATTGTGGAGAGGTTCAGTAACTTATTTGTTTCATACGAAACAAGCCAATGGGTGCAGTCTCGTCTCGTGAAAATCTCGTACTTGTATGATTGGATTTGTTTACTCAAGTCTGGGCTGTTTGATTTTCGAGTACCGCCGAGATTGCACTGCCTCAAATAAAGTTTCGTGCCGCCAAAGCAAGAATTACGATCTGCAATCTGTTTGTAGTACCTGTAAGAATGTGGAGTACATGTATCGTACTTTCTCTGTTGCTGTTTCAGTTGCCGTCATGTTGCTAAAGAAAGGTTCAGTAGAGAGGTTCTGCAAAACGAAAATTCGAACGAAGTTTCGCGACAGTCCTTGCGAAAGTGTGTGCGAATTTTTGCGCGAACTTTGCGTTCTGCACATTTTCGTAGTTTTCGTAGTTTGCGCGGGCCAAGTGCACTTACGCCATGACCCGATCTCACGAAATTTCCTACGACAGTTCATTTCGCGTTCCCTGCAAGTTTCGCGTCCAAAGGTGCGAAGTTTCGCACTTCATGATGTAGAGCGAAAGTT